GCACAAACTCTACCAACACCGCCACTTCATAACTAAAAAAAAAAAATAAATAAATAATATAAAACAATAAAAAACATTTCATCTCCTCTGGTCTCGAACCCGGACCAAGCTGCATCCGAGAGGTGCCTCTACCAACGCAGCCACTGCCCTTCTTACGCGAGCTGTTGCAAATTTGAACATAAGTAGCAGCTAATAATTCAGCACAATTCAATCGCAATTTCAATTCTTGGAATAGAAAAGTATACATGCATTTGAATGTATGTGTGCACACGCATAGGAAAAATGCGTGCGCGTGGCGCTGCTGACATGTGCTTTTGCAAATTGGCCAAACGTTTTGTTTAATAACTTCTGTTTTACTTAATGGATTTTAATGAAATTTTCAGCATATGATCTACATATCCTATTGGCTTGGTTGAGATGCAAACGCCTTCACATAATGGCCCTAGTTCCAACTAAACTTAAATTCTAAGAATTTGGGGGAATTTGGAGCCGGTATCCAAAATCCAACAAAAATCAAAATTGCATAAAATATACATAACACTAAATACAAAATTTGGAGGCTCTAGCTCTTAAGACGTTCGAGATATAATTTATTTACTGCATTTCAATAATGTTTTTATTCGATAACAATTAAATGCGAATAGTTATCGAATATTTGAAACAAACTTGACCTGCGCGTGCTATACACGGACCTACAAAAAAAATTTCAAGTCTCTAGCTCTTATAGATGCTGAGATCCACGCGTTCACACATACGGACAGACGGACAGACGGACAGACGGACAGACGGACAGACGGACAGACAGACAGACGGACAGGGCTCAATCGACTCGGCTTGTCGTCCTGATCAAGAATATATATACTTTATGGGGTCTGCCACGCCTCCTTCTGCCTGTTACATACATTTGCACAAAACCATTATACCCTGATTTCCCATTTTTAATGGGATCAGGGTATAATAAATAAAATTTTGAGAGCTTAGAATGTATAGTATAGTGTATGCTAGAAGAGTGAATACTCTGGATGAATAAATTATAGATGTTGAGTATATAAAAAAATGTTATGAAAATTGAAATCCTAATTCAATGTATGACTAAAGGTTGTTTTTCTAGTAAATAGTAAATAGTTTCCAATGTTTTTTCTCTGCATGAAAAGCATAAGAATATTTATATAATGTTATATAACTGTATATGTATAAGCCTAAAGAGAGAGTAGTTATGCAGTAAATACAGCGAGTGCTATTATTGAAAGTTAGAATTAAAGTAGTCCCTGGAGGATCAGCTTATTTCCATATGTATATAAAGTGAAGCTTTATGGTTTTTATATTAATACACAAAATATAATATATTAATATAAAATACAGTTCATATATAAGTACATCAAGTTGCTATGGATAGTTGTCTCAGACTTTTCAAGGCGATAGCAGCTACAACTCTACTGCTAAAGTTGATCAAGAAACCATAAAAATGTATGTACGTATATAAATATATATATTCATATTTCCTTTTCATAGTTCAAAGTTCATTTCGTGACAATATTCAAATACCCCAAGCAAGTGTATATATAGGAAAAAAACTTAGAATGAAATATAAATAAAAAGGAAAATACACGCTGGCGTTCAAAAGGGCACGCTTTTCATAATAAACATTAGCGCTACGACCGAATGTCATTCTGTTTCTCAGTCCCTCTGTCCCTCTGTCCGTCTGTCATTCATTCAGTCCGTCCGCCTGCGCGTCTGTCAGCTGTACGTTGCGATCAGCGCGACCCGTGCGAGTGCCTGCCTAACAGCTACTCCTACTCTACCCACTGCAGCTGCTCTCTCGCTCCCACTCTGTCAGTCTCCCTCTCTTCCGCTCTACCCTTCTCCCTCGCTCTGTTCTCATGGTTCGCTGGCGTCCGTTCTGCACTTTTGTTTGTTTGTTTGTTTGTGAATTGGTCGTCTTTAGTTACACTTGAATACGTTTTGTGTGTCCGACTCTGTTATGTTAGTGTGTAAGTGTGTTTAGCGTTGTGGGTTATGGCAGTTGCCTCAGCAGTTGCAATTGCACCCGCACTGCACTTCACCTACTTCGCTTGCGCTTAAAAATAGAATTGCATACTTAGCGGCGCAGGAAGCGGCCGCTGTCAACGGCTCTAAACCCTTTACAATCGCCCAGGGCCCCACAGCCCATACTGCCCACTACTTTACACTTAAAGAAATTATGGAGTTAAGTTGAGTTATATATTTGAAAGCTTATTATCTTGAACTGCTATTAAGGCATGAATTGTTTTACTTTTGATATTTAATATGCAATTGCAGAAATTTATTCAGAATATTTTTAAAAAAAAGTTCAAAGCACATTATAAATGAGTTAAAGAATTTTAAAAAATATTCTACTGATATCTTTGAAATAAAATACTGTGGAGTCTAAACTTTGTTCAGTTGAACATGAAAAGGTTCTAGCATTTAGAATTTTCTGTTATTTAATTTACAGTTAAAACAAATTATGCAAAAATACTTTTGTCAACTTCTGACTTTAGAAAAGAATTTTGTATCTTCAGCATACGTCATATTGGCTGCGACTGATCTAGGACTATTTTGAGTCTTAAAAAACCAAAGACTTTTCGCTCAGTGCAGAGCTCAGTTGGCTTTTGTCTTGGACACAAAATAAAAGAAGAAACTTTTGCTGTCCAAGTCCAGGCTGGGGCGTCTTATTATAGCTAAGCATGTCAGCTACTTACGCGTTGTTCTTGTTCTTCTTGCTGTTGTTGTTGTTCCTTCTCCTCCTGTTGTTGATGTTGTTGTTGTTGTTATTTGTAGTCTGCTGCAGTGCGACAGCGTTGGGCGTGGATGTCAGCAGCGGCCGCTTATGAGTAAACATGTATCCAGTTACACGCTGTTGTCGTATGCAAGTGTCCTGCGTATCCTTTTCCTTATTGTATTTTTAAAGCCTGCCCGAATTGTGTCGCACACACACACACACACTATCTATCTGTCTAGGTGTGTGTGTTTGCTTGGGACATCTGTAACCTTATCGCCTATACACTTTAGTTTTTGTTGTTTTTGTTTGCTTTGCGTATCCTGTGCTTCAATATATTTCATATAGTTGCTGCCGCCAGCTGCCTATGTGTGTGCACACATACACATACACATACACAAGCACATTTATCAATATACATATTATGCATTTAATTGAACACTTCACATAGTGAAGCACGCACGCACACACACACACAGACGCGCGCGCTCTTTCGCTCACGCACACCGTTTCAAATATCCTGCTGGTGCTCACACGAAATATCAACAACAACTCAGCAGTGCGGCATTGTTATTGTTATTGTTATTGCTTCGCTTGCTGTCGACACACACAACGTCAAACACTCATACGAGCGCGCTTACACACAGTTATAGCGTTTACTTTATGCCTTTCTTTCTTTTTCCCGCATAAAAACCGTTCGATCTCATACGCGTTTTTGTCGATCTTACGTTTTTGCTTTAGTGCGCTGTCACGTCACCGCGTGCGTTCACGTTGACGGTACAAGTCGGAATGAACTCGTGCGCTCACTTGTAGCAGCCAGCAGCCAGGCAGGCAGTCAGTCAGCACACACACACACACATAAGCAGATATAGCACGCATACAGTAAAGCGCGCTCTTTCTCTCTCAGTGTTTTTCGTAGTCTTTACGTTGCGCTCTCAGTGGCGCTCAGTTGTGCAGTTTTGTTGGCAGCATCCCCAGTAACAGCAGCGCGCGCTCTTGTTGTTGTTGTTGCTGTTCCTGTTGGAGCTGTGTTGGCATATGCTGCAGGAAGTGGAAGTGGGCAATGAGCGGGCAGAGGGAGCGGGAGCCAGGGCAGAGCTGTTGCCGTTTCGGCTCTCCCATCGCATTGCTATTTTGTATCTTCTGTTTGATAGTTTTTTTTGTTGTTTTTTTTTAGTGTGTGTGTGTGCGCTTCTAATTTTACACACGAAATTCCAGAGATGCTTTCATATTTTCCCGTTTGATGATTTATTTGACTGCAACGGCAATTAAAGGCCTTTTATTTCACTTTTTATCAACTGCATTTCCCATTGACATTGACGACGAGGGACGCGTGTTTTATTTATATTTTTGTTGCTGCGCGCACCCACAACACACACGCACGCAGGCACACTCACGCACACACCTACAACAGTAGACTTTTTGTCTGCCTTTTCACAGTTTGGCCTTAGCCAATTTCATGTTAGCGGCTTTGAACTTGGCCAATAAGTGCACATCAAGTTTATTAACTTTAATTACTAAATTCATTATTATTTGGTATAATTTTTGCTGTTTTTCACGTTTATTCTATTGTGTTGTTTGTGGAGCGCATTCCAATGCCATCCGTCAGCAGCAGCAGCGACTCCAATCAGAACCTGCTCCTGAAGTTTGCAGCATCCAACTAATACGACACACGGAGAGCCTGCTAAAGCGGCATCTAGCGGCAAAGCATGGCCGTTGATACGGCATAGCAGGCAGCTTTTGTTGCTAGACGCTTGCGATAGACCTATATATATTGTGGCGGCGTGCGATTGGTACGTTAAGTGAGTTGGCTTGTGTATTGGATATATCGTTGAGTGTAGTAGCTTTCGTTCTAATAGTTGAGTTTGAATTTGGTTAGTGAGTACAGCAATCACGCACAATGTTCCTTAAGTGTTTCAGTGGCTCTTAAACTGTTGTGGCTCTTATCCGCAAGGAATTGATATAGGAATGAAATGGAAACGAAATGCATATCTATAGCAAGTATATGGAAGTGGAATTAAAGTGAAACGAAAATGAAATGAAATTGAAATGAAAATGTAAAAAGAATCTTAGATCAAGCATATAATTATTCTTCATCAGCCCTTATGGATATATAGTGATATATAGTGATATTCGAATAATCCTTTCCGATTCCATACACCTGCATTAAAACTCAATTATCTTTAACATCCAAGACACAAAAAACATATGCGTATATTTTATTTAAATTAGATAATCGTAAAAACTTAAGACACAATATTAACTAATTCTTATACATGTCGCAGAGGACCTTCTCCATGGGCGTATTACCGATGGTTCGCTGAAAGAAGATCGATTCGATCTTGTGTGAATTGATCATGCGAAGAAGAGGAAGCATGAGCAGGAGGCGGCCGAAGCGTGCGATTTGAGCAGCGAATTGAGTTTTTGTATGCTGCGAGAGCATGACCTGGGAATAGATGGAAGTGAAACAGTTTAGAGAGAGCAAGAGAGAGAGAGAGAGAGAGGGGGCGTCTTACATGCGCTTGATCCTGTAGATTTTCGATTTGCGCTGGATCCTTTAGGCCTCTGGTTTCGGGTCGAAAGAGCACAATTGCCTTGAGGCAAGCAAATTCGGCTGGATCCACTAGAACCGCTTTGTACTTGCAGAAGATTTCGTGCAGTGTACGCACATCGGCAGCTAACTAAAGGTAGAGAGCGTACACTTTATTGCTGTTTCACTGTAGTTAATGCGACCGCAACTCACCTCCTCTTTGCTAACACAATTATCTGTGTTCGCATTGTTCTCCAAGTTATTGCAGTGCTCCGCGACCGAGAACAAGGCACAGCCCGTGGGATCCAGAGGAATGCACCATTGTATGGCGTTCAATAGAAACAGCTCTGACCAGGACTCCTCCAGCAGGATGACCTGATCCCGAAACGAAAGCCGCGCAAAGCTGGGCAAGTTCTTGGCCCACTTGACGGCCATGAAGAGCAGCCGCGCACTCGTCTCGTAGACCGTTTCATGCTGATGCGCATAGAGATTGGGCGACATGAACTGAGGCATGATGAAACTGGAATCGGATCTGCTGCCCGTATTGGGCTCCTCATCGTTGGTCACGTCAATCGAGTCGTCTGCAGAAAGGGAAACAAGTTCAGAGCATGACAATATGAGAAAGCAGAATGAGATTTGAAATTGATCCAGTGGCTCGGCTCAGACTTGTTCACTTTACAGATCAAGCTAAGTGCTTAGGATACGCTAGAGTCCTGTGACATTTCTAGAGAGAGTCACTGAAGAGCTAAGGTGCTTGCCACCACTATTTGAGGCAGTAACTTTTATAAGTAAGTCTGACTCTGCTATGGCTGAGTCGACATCTAAGAGCTCTGCTATCATTCAAGTCTTGCCCAGGCTTGAGTATTCCAACACAGCAGGTAACTAGCGACTAAACTAACCACAGGATATGCAGGATATGCATTCCTCTCACTTTGGTAGTACGAGTTGAGAGTGTAACAAAAGCAACTCATTGAGGTTGAACCCATGGAGGCTGCTACCAATAACTATAAACAGCCTTAGAGTTGTGGGTCAACCTCGCCCCAACCAGAGGCTGAAATGTATGCTCGATTTCATCTATCTCCATCTGGTATCAGCGGAATTCAAGCCCTCTAAATGGTGGCGATTAACTGTTTTGCCTCTCTTGACTCAACTTCAGCTCATTTATAATGCATGCCTGACAGTCGCTCTTAGATTTGCTACAAGTTGCAGTTGCTCTACTTTCATGATGTCCACAAGCTGTGGGATTTCCTTACGTTAACCTTCTCTGCCTGTTGTATTGCGCTGCAGCATCTTTCGTAGCATCTTTCTCTGCAGCTTTGTCCTACATCGGGCTTTGTTTTATTCCTTTTCCGACTGTTTCGTTTTTGTCTGTTACTGATCTAGAGTATATATATATATATAGAGATGTCTAATGAGATTATTATCGTTTTATTCTCTCCCTCTCTCCCTCTCTCTTTCTTTATCATCTCTCTATCTCACAGATCAGCTGCATTTAAGCTGCTGCTTTCAATGCCTTAGACTCTCAACATATCTTCAACTATCCATGTCTATCTATATATATATTACAATAGCTCTGCTCACCATCATTATCATTCTCTGGCGTTGGGCTGGAAGAGCTAATGGAGGAGACACTGCCGCCGGCATTAATCTTCTCATTTGCAATATTCTTCTCATCTGGCGGTGGCGAGCTGGGATCGATGCTGTGATTGCTGCTCGAGTTGGTTGAGTGCGAGATATTGCCACTGCTCGAGAGCTCCATGGAGACACCACCATAGCCGCCCAGCTTGTTCTTGGGCGAGTGATGCAGTCCGGCCGCGGCGGCGGCATTGAACATGGGAAAGCTGCTCGCATGCGTCATGTGATTCGTGGCCATCTGCATGGAGGAGCTGAGATGATTGTGGTGCAGCAGACGTCCCGTTGGCAGGCTGCCCAGCGCTGTGGAAGACGAGACTGTGCCGAGTGAGTGAAATGAGCGCGATTGAGCGAGCGATGTATAAGAACTTACAAGGCGGCGGCAGCAGGCCCGAGCCATAGCAGGGCGGCGAGAGTAGCACGGGAGGGCTGCGAATCGAAGAATCGAGCAAGGGCGAGTTATGCAAATGACAGGCAATGGGTCTAGATAGCATCACTAGGTCTACAACTCACCCAAATACGCCAACGGCTACGGCTGCCTCTCGCAGCGCACGGCCGTGCTCCATCTCCCGCAGCGTCTCCGGCCGTATAGTGGCCGTGTTGCGTGGCTGTCGCTCATTTTGCACCGCTGTAATTGGAAAACAAAATGCATAAGTGAATCTCCTTGCACCACTAGCACCACTCAGAGGCAACGCCCCGACAAATTCGTAATGAGAAAATGTCACAAAATGTCGCTTAACGCCTTTTGCCTAAATGCCAAATAGTTTGGCTGCACTGGCCGCGCGTGCCGCTCTCTGCGCTTCTCATTTGGCCTGGGGACACTGCTCGGTAAATTGGTTTTGTGGTCACGTGCCGCTCAACGCCCACAAATTGTTTTCCCATTTGTTTATGCAATTTTACCGCGACAACTCAATCTGTGCAACGTGCGCCACGCCCCCTGCCCCCTGCCTCGCAGCTGCGGTAACTGTTGCCATTTTGCATATGGCCAGCATAATTTATGGCTCAATTGGCAGCGGGTGGCCCAACCATAATGAAGTGCGGCCTATTCACAACGTGTTAATAAGCGCACTCGACATCCGAGACGTGTCATGAGAGAGAAACCTAAACTATTGTTCAAGAAGTCGTCCTGAGTGGCGCCATGTGAGCTTTAGATGTGCCTGCATTTGGGCGAAAGAGAGTATATTGGCTTGGCTGAAATGTGTGCTTTGAGCATATGTAATAAATATGTATGTATATATATATATATATATATATATATGTATCTATGATATATATCTGTATAATATATACTATATATATATATATATATATATATATATATGTACCTAAGATATATATCTGCATAGTATATACTTCTATATAGTATATAGTTCTATAGTCCACAGTTCAAGCTTAAGCCAAGCAGCTCCTAGAAGACGCTGTTAATCTCTTCTACATTTTGAGCAATGCAATTCACACTCACACGCCTACTAGGGGCGTGGCAAATAGCTTTTGTTGTTAGTCATTATATAGTGTTTACCATGAATCATATTTGAGTTAGAGAGCTGAATTGTATGGGGCTATATGCGAGATCTCTACCAGAAGCATGGCTCATATTGAATACGCTTTTCGCGTTTTGAGTGCTCTTATTTGGGCGCTCATGCCACTCCCTCTTGCCCATAAGTTCGAGCATTTTGAATGCTCATTTAACTGGCCAAGGAAGCCGCAGCACTCTGATGGCTTAGAACTGGTCATCTGCGAGTTTTTCTTGCTAGTTGAAGCTGAGAAAGCCTATGAAAAGAGAGCTAAAGGGGCCAGCCAAGGACAAACAAGATTGAATAAAATTAAGGAAATAATGCTGAGGCAAGTCTACAGTCTCATATAGGTATTACTTTGAAGTCAACTAAGTATATAATTATGAAAAAAAACTTTTGAGACAACACAAAATTTGCGAAGCTCTTCAAACACAGCTCGTAGCTACAGCCATTAGATGTGGCAGATTGGCAGAGAATTTGTCTCACAGCGCCTACAATTTGGCTACCAACTGACTGTTGAGCTCTGCTAAGGACTGCCAAGCTAGGCGCAAAACAAACTGATAAGGGCGTGGCAGCGCCTTCAAAAAAATAGCTGAATTAATTTAAGAGCGAGGAACAACAAGTTAGTTTACTCTGAGTGAACAGCCTGCCCATTGGGGCGTGACCAATAGGAATATATTGATTTTATTTTTATTATTTATTTATTATTATTATAATTTATTATTTTTATTATTATTATTATTATTTACTTTTTATTTATTTTATTTTTATTATTTATTTATTATTATTATTATTTATTTTTTATTTACTTTATTTTTATTATTTATTTATTATTATTATTATTTATTATTTTTATTATTATTATTATTATTTATTTTTTATTTATTTTATTTTTATTATTTATTTATTATTATTATTATTTATTTTTTATTTACTTTATTTTTATTATTTATTTATTATTATTATTATTTATTATTTTTATTATTATTATTATTATTTATTTTTTATTTATTTTATTTTTATTATTTATTTATTATTATTATTATTATTTATTATTTTTATTATTATTATTATTATTTATTTTTTATTTATTTTATTTTTATTATTTTTTTATTATTATTATTATTTATTTTTTATTTATTTTATTTTTATTATTTTACTGCTTTTTATACCAGAAATAAGTTTTATGCAATGCTCTATCAAGCACTTGAAATTTTAAATACATATATATATATATATATATATATATATATATATATATTATATATATAATATATTTAATAATATTCAACATATTACTTTAATTTTCAGGCAAGTCAACTGAATTCATGGAATTACAAAAGTTCAATTATTATTCAGGACTTCAGCAAAAGACAGCAAATTTGATTAACTAGACAATAACTGACAGCTGCTTAGTAACTCTCTGCTGCACACAATGGAATGCAGCACATACATATATATATATATATACATACATCTATCTATATATCTGAAGAATATGCTGTGCTTTGTTTACTCAACTGCTATGGAAGCTGCTTAAAAATCTGTCAAAGACAACGACAGACAGCAGCAGGTAACAAATCAATTGAGTGAACAATATGTAAATAAAGTGCACCACCCCAAACATTGACCCACCGCGCACCACATTCGCGCCCACTGAGAGATGAGCAAGCAGCAGCAGCAGCAGCAGCAGCAGCAGCAACCCCCAAGCAGCGAGACCTTTTCACAATATTTTTGTTGCTGTTCAAGCGATGCGTGGGAAAGGGTTGACAGAGAAAGAGCGCGAGAGAGAGAGAGTGAGCAAGAGCAACGCATCTTCTAGAGATATTTACATTAGACACGCTTGCACGTGTCGCCAGGTTTTTGTTTTGAGGTCATGTTAAAGAGCAATTAAACGTGCTTCAGTTCATTAGAGCGTTTAGACAGATTATGAATATGGAAGCGACACAGTGAGGGAGAGTAGCTGTAAAGGGGTATATATATATATATATATATACAGATATATATACATGCCTAAGAACTAGTTGATACTGATTGAAAGAGAGTAGGAGTTATCGATTGATGAACTCTTCAAAGGCTAGAGCCATGAGAGCTCAGCTAGACTCAATTTGCTTAATGAAGTTCCACTGACAAGCGTGGAATATGGATGGAAAGCTATTGTATGTCTAAAGAGTTGTATTGATTGATTGATTAAATGAGATACTAATTGAGTGCAACTAAGGTCTAAGGTCATACCTTCATAAGCATTTGTCTATAATGTGATTTGTGTGCTTCAATCAAACTTAAAACTAAATCTTAATCTTCCTTGCAATTAGGTTCTCCATGCTCTACAGACAAGCATGAAATATAATTTAAAGGAAAACATTTCAGCTTTGTTATTCAAGAGTTAAAAATCTTTTAAAAATTTCAATAATATTTAGACAAGATTTTCATATCATATGGCCAGGAGCATACAACTCTCTCAGCTGCAGAGTATCTTCTATATTAAGTCAATCATTTTCAAAGGCAATCAATATATGAAAAAGTGCTATCTCTCTGTCTCCCTATTAGACTTCTCTTCATATGCTATTAACCTGCCGAAAGTCAATTAGAATCAACATTACTTACCATCCTTGTTCATTCCCATTTGAAGGCACTTCTTGAGCCTGCATGCCTGGCACTGATTGCGATGGGCCTTGTCCACAACACAGCGTCCGGTGCCCGCCTGGCAGCTGCAATCAGAAAGAGAACAGTTTAATTTCTTTGTGATCGATTCGAGTTGAATGTTTAAGCGTCCGCACGATAATTAAGTTACGCAGATGCCCAGTGTCAAAAATTGCAACATTTGTGAAATTTGCTGGCAAGTGAAGCGTAAGCCCACTCACTAAGGCCAAGTGTCTGGGCATAGAATTGTATCTGAACAGCTGAGCCGTGTATCTATTTTTGGTCTTTGTTCTGTGTTTCTGTGTGGCATGCGGCATGCGGCATGCGGCACTTGTGGCATTTTAATCAAATCACATTGACTGTCTGAAATCATTGCCAACCACCTCCTAAGCAGCAGTTGCTCTCCCTCACACCCTCTGGCGGCTGGTTAAGGCAGCTTTTGTTTGCCTTAGTCATCGTGCTGCGTCCCTCTCGCACTCGCTGTGGCGCCTTGTGCTGCCTGGCGTCGCCTCAGTCGCACTTGTTTGCGCTTTTGTGCTGCATCCTTGTCGCACTCTAAGCCTGCGCCAAAACTCAAAATACAAAATGGCAAAGGTTCTTTCGGCTTACCCCACCTCCCAAATCACTGTCTTCCTCTTGCTCTCTCCTTCTCACTTCTCATTTTTTATGTGCCCTGTGTGAAGTTTGACTAACTAACAAAGCACTTAGCTAAATGTATCCTTCAGATACACAACTTCTCTGTGTGTATGTGTGTGTGTACACCCACTATTTGTGCGTGGAATATGCTAATTTTATGTTTTCGTAAACAAATCACGTAGATTGAAGCCGTAGCTATGAACTGCTTCGAGTCGTTTATTGATTCGTTTTTTCTACACATTCCCTGGAGTTTATTTGGGGCTAAAAAAATTTTTTTTATATATATTTTTTTTAATTAATTAAATTGATAATAAATTTAATGTGAGACGTTTATATAAATATTATAAAATAATATAATAATAATATTTAATAATATAGGCAGTGAACTGAGGTAGTATGCTATACATATATATTTATATGATTTTTATGATATATATCTCATATATGAGAACGATAACAGCCAGCGCTTTAGCTGCCCCTAGGCATTTCAATTATTAATTGAGTCAAGTGTAAACTTTGACGCCCACGAAACAAAGTGAAGGCAGCGCCTCGTGGCATGCCCCTTAGCTTGCCTACAAAAAAGTCAACTTCAACTTTTAACAACTTTCTCATGCATAATTCACAATTTATGCAACTATTCGTAGCATATAAAACGCAACATTTGAACAATTTCCAATTTATTGAGCAATTGTTGGCGGTTGCTGCAGGATGGTTCTACGTCGGCTCTTTCCAGCGATGTACACGCTGCCCGACAAGGCGCCAGCTAAGTCGCGCCAGGCGACGCTCTATTTGCTGAACTGCATTTTCCTAATGGGCATCAGGACGCCGCCGAAGGGCTGCTGCCTCTTCTTCATCTATATCGTGTGGTCTTTTGCTCTGAATCTGTGCTCGACTTTCTATCAGCCAATTGGCTTTATGACCGGTTATATGTCGCACCTGTCGGAGTTCGCACCTGACGAGTTTCTCACCTCGCTGCAGGTGGCCTTCAATGCGTGGTCCTGTTCGACGAAAGTGATTATCGTCTGGATACTAGTGAAACGCTTCGATCAAGCCAACTTGATCTTCGATGAGCTGGACAAGCAACTGCTGGAGCCGGCCGAGCGGAGTCGAGTTCATCGCGCCGTCTCGCGCAGCAATCGCATTTTCTTTGGCTATATGAGCGTCTACTTAGTCTATGCGACAACCACATTCATCAGCGCCTGCATTATGGGCGTGCCGATGTTTCAGAACTATTATCCCTTTCTGGATTGGCGCGCCAGTCGCTGGGAGTATTGGCTGCAATCGGGCTTGGAGTATTTCGCCATGTTCGGCGCCTGCTTTCAAGACGTCTGCGCCGACTGTTATCCCATCAATTATGTCCTGCCGCTGCGTGCACACATGGCCAACTTTGCGGAGCGACTGAGAGGCTTGGGCCATGATCCGCTAGAGAGTTCAGAGGAGCGTTACGAAAAGCTTATCGCTTGCATACAACATCACAAACTTATATTGAGGTACGATCTGAGTTTAGCTATATCGTGGAAGAAGCTCTCAAGTTTCTCTCTGCTTTCAGTTTCTGTGATACTATACGCCCCGTTATCTCGGGCACCATTTTCGTGCAGCTTCTCGTTGTGGGCTTGGTGCTGGGCTTTACCATCATCAACATTGTGATGTTTGCCAATTTCGCCTCTCGCATTGCTGCTTTCTCATTTATGGCAGCTGTCCTATTGGAGACCACGCCCTTTTGCATCCTCTGCAACTATTTGGCCGATGATTCGCTGCAGCTAGCCGACGCTCTATTCGAATCGAATTGGATCTACCAGGACCAGCGCTATAAGAAGACCCTGCTACAGTTTCTGCAGAGTCTACAGAAGCCAATTGTTTTCATAGCTGGAAATATTTTTACCATTTCAGTCGCTACGAATTTGACTGTGAGTTTCGATTAGAATTTTTCACAGATTTTTTCTTAATTTGTTTCCTTTGATTATTTGATATCATTTAATATTTTACTACTATTTCAGGCCACTAAGTTTTCCTTCTCGGTTTTCACACTGGTCAAGCAAATGAATTTAGCTGAAAAACTATCCAGACCCAAGGGACCAGAATAAATTTTTAAAGTATAAAAATCATATTATCTGAGAGTTTTTTATTTTTTATCATAATTTGAAAAGAATTGACCTTGGCTATCTCTAGATCTTGTACCTGCCTCTCCATTACTGTCTCTCTTGTGCTCTCTCACTCTTTATGGCTCTCTTTCTTTTATTTTTCTCCATCTCTCACTCACCTCCTTCGCTCTTTTCCTCTGTCTCTGACACTGTCTCTGACACACTAAGCTCTATCTCTCGTTTTCTCTCGCAGCATCTCTTTTACGCACTTTCACTCTTTCTCTTCTCTCTCTATCTCGCTCTTTCTTACTCGCTTTAACTGTTCCTCTCTTTTTCACTGCATCTCTCTTCTCTCTCTCTCTCTCCCTCTCTTCTTTCGCTCTTTCACTCTGTGAAACCGCTTTCTCTCTCTTCATCTCTTTCACTCTCTATCTGGTTTCTAAGTTTCTTTTTCACTCGCTCGCCCTGACTATCTCTTCTCTTACTCTCTCCCTCGCTCTCTCCCTCGCTCTCTCCCTCGCTCTCTCTCTCTCTCTCTTTCTCTCGCTCCCTCCCTCTCTTTCCCTTTTGTACTCTAATTCAAATTAATTCCAACTTCTTCTGCTGCTCTTCAATTCCCTTTCTCTCTTGGTTTCATAAAGTTCTGATTGAAGGCAATTGATTATAATTGAAATTGTCTTAATGCGGCCACCAGAGACGAATATATATATATATATATATATATATATATATATATATATTATCTAGATCCTTTCTGGTGGCACATTGACTTCGCTGACTATCCAAAAAACAAGTCACGTAGCAGAAAAATAAACTCCTCGTCCTGCTTCTAAGTCCTGCTTCCCCCTTCAGTTCCCCTGCTCAAACTTTTGCTCTATTTTGCCTTCCTCTCGCTTTTTTCTGTGCTGCGATTTGGTCCTGGCTTAGCTGTTGACGGTGGTTGGGTGGTTTGCCATAAGGGTCTCGTTCTAAAGAGGAGGAGGAGTGGGTGGGCGCTGGGTGCTTTGCTGGTGTGACGCGGCGGTCACATTTGGCCAAGTGTTTTGCGCTTAAGCCCTCCATATCAATCTCTGGGGACCGCAAGGATATAGAGATTTCGACATTTGTGATTTACCGAGCCAAGGATATACAGCGCAGAGGCCACAGGATACAGTCCAAAGGCATATACATTACAGAGAATCATAATTTCATGTTGACTCGCAAGGAATTTGTCGCCCAAAATATGCGGCCAAGGCGAGCAAACTATGCGCTGATTTAATGATAATTGAAAATGAAAACGAAACTGAAACAAGTGCCATAAAATAAAAACAAATTGGCACAGGGCACAGAGTACAGAGCAGGATAAATATATTTAGATAAGAAATTATATAAACAAAATATTTATAATTTAATAATATGAAGCAATGCAGATATGTTTAGAGCTCAACTTGGATTGGCAACTGAACTGCGGAATAGCTACTTTAAGCTATTGTTGAGGGAACTAGATGGAGGAGAACCTATTGAGCTAGACTCTGGCTAGACTAGAACTTTACAAGCCTAGTCTGTGGTACTAAGGGTCTACTGAGCCTGGAGCAACTGTAACAAAGGATGCGAAGAATGCTGAGGTTACAAAGAGACTTTAGCTAAGATATAAGTCTGTATAAGAGGTCTAGAAGGCGCCATTAGTAGAGTTATACAGATACAACTTGGTTTAAAATATGATAAAAACGAGGTGTGCTCAAAGAGTATGGTGAATTTCGATCGAAGCAAAAACAAATAAAACAACCATTTTTTTGATTCAGATTTCTTTAAAAAAAAAATATTTTTATAAATTTTTTAAAAATAAATTTTCAATAATAAATAAATATTTTTTAAATGAAAATTCAACACTCATGTTACTTTTTGAGCACAACCCGTATAATCAACATATTTAAAAGTTAAGTTATGCATATATATAACTGCCTTGCCGCTGCTCCCTCTACAACCCACATGCCGCCTGCCTACGCCGCCCCAAAGCGCGAGTCCTGGCAAAAGTGGCAAAAAAAAGCAAACATAAAATTAAATCCGCACTTTAAATTCAATTACAATTTCAAAATTTTTTGCTTCAATTTTAAAATGGAATAAAAAGCCCGCACAGAGACAGAGCGAGAGCGCGAGATGAAGCTGCAGATGATGCTCAATGGGGATTTGTGTGGGCAAAGTCAAACGCATTCAAAAGTTGACGCTCAAATCCCAAAGATTTGAATAATTGTAATAAATTTTTGGGTAATCCGCCAGACAGGCCAGAAGGCACACGAAAACCAACCCACTTGCCACACACGCTCGCAGTGCATGTTGTTGTTGCTGCGGGGCCCTTTACCTACCGATAGATGAGTTTGCGGCGCACGCTGCGCTTGAAGAAGCCCGAGCAACCGTTGCAGGCGAGGATGCCGTAGTGCTTGCCGGAGCTCGTGTCGCCGCACACCACACAGATGAGTCCCAGGTTTTGGCCCTTGAGCCGTGGCAGGCCTGATTGATCCACGATTGATGCCGATTGACCGGCAGCTGTTGCTGACGCGGCCGCAGCTACTGCAGCAGCAGCCGCTGCATTCGCCTGATGATTGGAGGCAACGGCTGCTGCCGCCGCGGCGGCTGCTGCGGCTGCACTGTGATTCCAACTGAGCAGGCGACTCGGTGTTGTGGTCTGCGCCCCTATGCCAGCTGGCGGTGGCGCCACAGATGTGGCGGCCGCACCATGCGGCGGCGGCGGTGTATAACAATGGTGCGCAGGACTGTGCAGCTCTGTGAAAGAGAGAAGAAGAAATTAATTTATCAATTATATTATTGAAGCAACTAGAACTCTTAGAGCATATGCTTTGAAGAGGTTTAAAGTGATTATTTATCTATAAAATATATTATATATTATATGTCTCTGATCTTTCCACTAAATTTTTTATCAGAAATTTCGAATCTAGACCAACTTTCTGTTAAGCAAAGGTTTTTTATTCTATGCAGAGGAAGACGACAATGAAACAAGCTTTAACTTATCGAGCATATTCCATATATTTATAACTCAATAATAAGCAAACTCTGCTCAACAAATCTTAAAGCATTTTCAGCAAGCAAAAATTGAGCTAAGTTTTCCGGAAGTTTTTTGGAGTTCTCAATTAAAAAATCTGATAAGTTTGGTTAGGAAAAGGATTTTTAGCTTGAAATAAGCTAAAAAATTTAATAAACAAATTTTTAAAATTAATTTTTTTTGGCTTCCGGCTCAGCTTTTGCCTTGGGATGATCAACACACGAAAATACTTTTACTGCTTCAGATTTCCTAAGCCCTATTCCTATTTATATTATATATATAAATATACATATATCGATCTTTTATATATATATATATATATATTCAAGGTAAATGTTTGAAATTAAAACTGAATATGCAAACATATACGAGGTGTGCTCAGAAGGTATATCAAATTTTTATACTCATGTCCCTCACTTATGCCAACAAATTCGGGCATTATGAAAGCCTATTTAATTTTTGACTTAGACATGTCTTGGCTCAGTCTTAGATATCAACTAAAGGATTCTTATAGATATATTTTATGAAAAGAAAGTTCTTTTAACTCTGCCTGGCTGCAGAGTTAACTTGCTTAGCATTTCACCTATAAAAATTATAAAATATTAAATATAAAAATTAAATATTTAAGCAATCTCTTAAGAGTTAACTTAGCTAACTTTCAGCTTTAATCGACTTTAAAAGAACAAACCTGCAGACACTTAAGTCAAATAGTTAAGCCCCGGCAACTGTTAAAGTTTCTATGCCCAAGACACACACACAAAAAAAAGGATATGCAATAAAAAATCACTTATGTAGTTCATTTAAATTAAATTGTAATTTGTCAAAAGGTTTTCTCGCACTCCCTGCCCCTGCCCCTCTTCCTCTCACTTTTTTTCCGATCTTATCCGAACGCGCGACGACATTGACGCCCTGTAATCCGCAAAATATATTTACACATACAATTAGGGTGCCATTAGGACAAGCAAACCAGACAGAGAGAGAGAGAGAGAGAGAGTCAGAGAGAGAAAGAGAGCGAGTGGCATTAAATTTGCCACGGGGGACAATTGTTTAGCCATCACACCCTAATTTGATTGTAGTTTTCCATGCTGATTCGGATTTTGATTCTGATTCCTTGATGCACTTAACCTAACCCCCCTCGACCGGCAGCTAGGCCAGGACCAGTTGATAGATATTCTGGCACACATTTGTTACACTCGCCACTTGCCAGTGCGTCGAAGCGTTCCAGGCTGTTTGGCTTTCATGCCTTCTGTCTCCTGCTTCTGGCCAACTGTGGTCTAAGGCCCTCGGATTAGCGTCATATGCTTGCATTTTACCCCCTTTTGTTAATTTTTATGAGCTCGTTGAAATTCAGTTTGACAAAAGTGTTAAAGGGCGCCCTCTCCTTGCCCTCTCCACATCTTTGTATTATGAATTTTTGGAAATTTCGGCTGGCATCTTAATGCAATTGATGTGATTATCCCAAATTGAATTTGTTTGCTGCGAGTCAATTTGCGGCTTGATTTTGCTCGTCCTTTTTCACTTTTCTCTTTGAACTTTTGGCCTATAGTAAATAATAAATATTCTTATTAAATCAAATTTCATTAGATACGAAATATTTTTATTGTATTCTTCCGTTGTGTTTTACTCTTTATCTAATTTAATTAAAGGACAAAGTGTGGGTGGAAGCTGTTAAAAAAGGTTCTACTTAATTTTCGCTTGTTTTTATATTATTTTTCTTTGCTTTTTACATTTTTTTTGGAAAAGGAATTTTTATGAAAAAAGGTATAATTATGTGCATTTACACAAACAATTTGTTGAAGTGCGTTGCGGAATTTTTATGTAGTTTTTTTTTGCTAGATTAAATAAGTTATTTTTTTACATAATTTTTAATTTTAATTTTTTTATATATATATTTTATATATATATTTATATATATATATTTATATATATATTTTTTAATTGTTTTTTATTTTCATTTTTCATGTATGATTTTCTACCATAAAATTATATATATTCAAATTAAATGAATAATTTTCAACAGCCCATTTCGAAGCATACTTTAAGGAGACTTTTGAAATGCTTTAACTTGCTGCGATTTTGTATATTTTTTCTGGTTTTTTTTTCGTTATATAATATAGTGCCTATTATATTTTAATTAAATTTAATATATTTTATTAAATTATTTATTTAATTCACTGACTTATCATTCATACATATTTCTATGCTATGCTACAAGGAGTATTATATTTTCAATTTTTTCAATTATTTAAAATCACGTAAAATCCTCATTCAATGCATATTTCTATTCTATTTTAGGAGACTGAACCCAGAGGGAAGCCTAGTTGATATGTTAAAGACAGAATCAAAGAACTTTAATTGAAGTTAATAGCTTGAGATATTATAACTTTTCTTTTAGTATTATATTATACTTATATGTTAGCATAAATAATTCAGCACATTTTAAGATTAAGTATATATAAATTCCGAGGTAAATCCAAAATAAAACTATATTCTGCCACATCCTGTACTGTTGCTCTTAATGTCAAGGCTTTTATTGCGCTTAAACAACATTAACTTTGTATCACATAAGCAGTCGGCATACGGCACCTAAGAGCTTCTACTCCACTCTCTTCCCGCTCTTAAGTTGAAAATATCAGGCAAAATCTGTGCCTTCATAATTTTAACACAGAAAGTTAAGTTTCCCAGCTCTCAACTCAGTTTCTTCAGTTCAAGTTCATATTTTTAAGCAATTCACAATAGATTAAGTTAATATACCTTGTGAACCTGGGCGCGTGTCCGTTAAATTTTCTTCCTTATTCATAACTAAATAAATTATAACAACAAAAACTGAACAAACACTTTGAACTTTTCTTCAAACTTTGTTTTAACACATGAAATTGGCGAAGGAGTTAATTTTATGCTGTTTAATAATTGTTTGCTAGACACCAAAAGCACTTTTATGCATAAGCATTACATATATATTTGTTATATATTTTTTAAATATATTTATTTGTATTTATAAAGCGACGGCTAACGTGTTTTGTTAACGCACTAAGCGGGTCAGCGAATGGCTCGACAGGCTGCACCGACGGCAAGGACTACGGCGATGATGATGTTAACGTCTCGATGTACGATTTCAGATTTATCATAAAACCATGACAGAGGCTAAACACTGATGTGTCCAGTGCAGCAGCATCGGCAGCAGCAGCAGCAGCAGCAGAGCCAACAGCCAACAGCCAACCCCAAAATAGGATAACAGAAAAAAAAATGGAAAAGCTGTAGATATAATCCGCGCTCGGTGAGTGGGCAGAGGCTGGCCATGTGTGTGCCTCTATCTGTGTGTGTGTGGCGAAACAAAAAGCACAGCACAGCAAGCCAACCCAACCGCCCACCCCCCAACAAGAGCATCAGCAACAGCAGCAGCAGCAGCAATAAGAGCAGAGAGCAGCAAGCAGCAGAGACGGCAGCAGCAGCAGAGACGATGGCAGCAGCATAACCGCATGGCATTCAGCCCACAGTAAATTGTGGGTGGGTTAGGGCTGTTTGCCATATTACGCTGCGAAGACTTTTAGTGGCAACTCTGGTGGCGCATTTGCTTGTTGGCTTGCTTTGATTCGTTCCTTCTTGATGCTGCGGCCGACGTCGACGCTGCTGTTTGAGCGTAGGTAAGCCAAGCCGCAATCTCAATCTCCCAATAAACACCCGAGCAGCGCTCTCTCTTCGCTCACACACACACCCATACACAGGCACCCATACATGCATTTGCTGGCCGCCATCATGACGTAGCAGCAGCTGTAGCTGCAATGGAGTCTATATGGAGATATGCTGCGCCTCTTCCTCTCTCTTCGCCACTTCGCTTCTTCGCCACTCACTCTTTCTCTCTCGCTCTGCCCATTTCGCCTACTGTTGGCGCAGCTGCGCGGGGTGTTCGCTCACATAATCGTCTTGGGTTTTGACATTTTGTTTTTGTTTTGTAATACCTTCTGTGATGTTAGTGCTTTCGAATTCGCCCCTGCTTCCCCTCGCCATTCGCCAGTTAACTGTAATTGAATTGAACGGCATTCGGTCTGCCATGGCCTTTCGGTTACGTTTCTTGTTGTTTTCTTCCTTTTCCTTCATCTTTCTAATGTCGCAGCCGTAAGTATACCAGATTTATGGCCAAAACAATAATGGATAGACATCTGCGTTTACGATATTGTTCCAAATTAGATTGTATCAACTTATTCGATTACGTCAGTTAGAATAACTTTATTATTGTTTTTTTTTTTGTTTTTGGTTATTTTGGGTATATCTAATAAATTTATGTTAGGCAACTTAATTATAATATAATAATATTGATAATCAAATTAAATAATGGGAAAGTATTAAAGAAATATTATAATAATACAATATACAATATTATAATAATACAATATAATATATAATACAATTATAAAATGAAACAAAAGTAAATAAATTAATTATAACAAAATAAAATATTATAAACATTATTTTTCTAATATAATATAATTGAAAAATATTAACAAATTAATAATCCTAAGAAATGAAAACTGAAATAATCCGAAAATAAAGTATGGGCAAAATACTAAATTCTAAATTGAAATTTTGTGGATGTATTTTCGCTGGAAAATGTTTAAAACAAAAATACGAAATACATTAAAATAACCGACAGCATATATTTATTGTTTTATATATATATATTATTATATTATTATATAATCGTTTGCCACTAAAAATTGTTGTTGAATTCGGCCCAGAACTAACTCTCCTTAAACTGAATATTTCCCTTTGGGTTTTGAATCTATTCATACGTACCATATTAAGCTGCTATACATGTGGGTCCAGCCTAATATCATAGAAATACTGCGGCGCAGCCAACTTAGCTCATAAAGTAGGCAAAGCGAATTTCACATCCGTAAACATAGCAATAGATACTTTTTTTCTAAAATATAACACAACACACCCACACATAAGTGTGCACATACACAGATATTTTTATGATTTGTTTATTTAATTTTCCTAATTGGATGACATCATTATTTCAAGTTTCGAAAGTTGAGGGCAACGGCAATGGCTTGTGTGTATTCAACAATGTTTAAAGCCGAGCGCCATAGGCAAATCCAATAATCGATAAAAGTTCATCCGGCCACATCCTCTTAACGTGTCCTGTTTTCATTTTTCTCCTTCTTTTTTTGTTGCTTTTGTTGTTGTTGCTTTTGTTGTTGAGGCTTTTGCTGCGCTTAATACGCCAACATTAACTTTGTAACAAATGAGATGTCGGAATACAACAATCACCTACCAGCTCCTACACACTCGCTCTCAGCCAGCTCTCACCCGCTCGCACTCACCAGCCTGCCACTCGCACAGGCTCATACTCTCTCTCGCACTCGCTCAGTCGCTCGCTCTCTCTCTCTCTCTCTCTGCAGAGTGTTTGTTGTGCTTGGGACAAAAGTGAAACGAACGCAAAAGTCAAAGCGCTTTGCTCTGGCGCTTTTTTGGCCACGCCTACGCTTGTAGGAGGAGCGAGCGAGAGCGTTATCCTGTAATATCCGTGCATCAAAAATGCCTGCCAGCAAGCGAGCGAGATAGCGGCCAGGCAGCTAGCGAGTGCAAGTGAGACAAATATAGTCAAGAGGGTTGGTTCTTGACATTTGAACGGGCGACATCTCTTCTCTGCCAGCATACAGAACGAATTTGTACAAGTGTGTGTGTGTTTGGGCTGGTGTATGTGTATATGAATGGGTGTGAATAAGAACTGTCTTTTATTTTCATATTTCTGCTCGTTATTTTTTGCTTTTTTGTTTGGCTTGCTCCCATTGTATTATCAAGTGCAGTGCACTTTATTTAATCAATCAAAATTCGCAAAATTCAAGTATATTTTGCAGCGTTAATTTCAGCAGTTAAGTGGAGGTTTTATGTATAGATATGAAAATATATAGATAACATAATTCATATACTGCAAATTTATTTACTTTTGTTTAAATAAATGAGCTTTTGGTTTCTATTATCAAAGCTAATAAGCTCAAGTGTACAATAGAACAGTTGTTAGACCCTGTTAGTTGTTTTCTAATCTATATTATCTTATCTAATAGGCTAATACCATTAGCTTTGATAAGACTGCCGTCAGTCTATTAAACGTTTCTGAACATAACTCGTTGGCTTTTTTATAGCATAGGAAAAAGCCTCAAAAGAGTGATGTTGATAGTATATACTATACTATGCTCTATACAACTATCTATATGTATATCTGTATCTTTATCTGTATCTATTTCTGTATCTCTATCTTGATCTATATCTGCACCTATATCTTTATCTGTCTCAATAACTCTATGTGCATAGACTATATTGGGTAATGAAAGGCTATGTGCTTCTCTCTGAACAAAGCTAAAATATTCGAATTTGCCAACTGTTCGACAATTTTAGAACTTTAATCATCGCATTGTTTAGCTCCTCTGCAGGTAGACTTCTAAACATGTTCCGCCCACTGGAGCGCGGCAAAACTAATTACATCCAATTTGTATGCTCATACCCAAAGTGAATAGAGTATATTGGTTGGCTATACACGCTGGAGACTTCAAATAGGGAATATACATACTATAAATATACAATGTTGAAGCTCTATACTATGAACCGGAAAGCACAATATTACTATTGACACTGAATTACTATTGACTTACCTTATAAATAAATCTATATCCATCTACATTCATCCATTGGAGCATGGAAAATTGTTATATATAGTTTTTTTCATACATTTATTTTAGTCTTATTTCAAGTTCATTAAAATCCAATCATATATATTTATATATACATATGTTAACTCAGTTACATGGTCATCTGAAAACAAATATAATAAATGCACTGAGAGAAAATATTGCCCAACCAGCAAGATGTCTATACCCAAGCTCTTCATCACATCTTTTGTATCTGTTTTTGAGATCTTCAAAATGTTTTGCTGCACATTTAATGCTTGAATTATTATGCCAAAGCAGCGCATCGTTTTTTTGTTTATAAAATACAAATACAAACATTGCGAAGTCAATGACACGTGCCAGGTATACAGCGGTAAATTCAACCAGAAAAACCCGTTTAACATAAACAAAGAACAATTTAAATCGCTTCGCTTGGCAATTAATTTTTTGTCGGTCGTTAGTTAGCAACCTGCCACGCCCAGCGCCCTCTACAAGGGGTCATGATTTTGACATATTTACTTTTAGCCCTCAATGGCAGAAGGACTAGAAGCTTGGGAGCTGGAAGTTGAAGTCAAGCTGTTTTGGCAATCGGATAGCGTGATTGACGGCTTGCAACGAGAGGGGATGGAAAGAGAGCCAGATGCAAGTATTGATGGATGGCATACCCAGATTTACCCAATTATGACCTAATGGGTGATATGATATACATGAGTCAATACTCCAATCTCTACTACCTCTAGCATCTATTGTTGCCACATTTTTCACGCTTCTAGTAGGCATATTGGGCTAATTTTAACAGCTTATAAGACTAGACCAATCAGTATATGTGCGAAATATCAATCTTCTAGCTTCATTATCCAGCCCACTTTGATTACATGATAAAGACTGTACACAAACAATGGAAAGTTTCCAATAAAAATACATGAAACAGAGAACTATAAGTATAAAAAACATTTTAGAGAACTGTAAAAAGTAAAACCCGAAACTATAGACCCCAAGATTTATTTCAAGAGAGCTATAAAGGTAGAAAGCTTTAGATTACAAGTTTCTAAAGAAGTCTAAGAGCAGAAAAAACCCGTAGAAAATACATTTTATAGAACTCTAAAGAAACTATATTTATAGACGAATAAGCCCCTATAAATGCAGTTTGTAGTTCTTAAAACTATATATAATCTAGGTATATCTCTCTCATTCACTCACTCTTTCTCTGCCCACAGCAAGCGCTGTAAATAAAAATAAATGAAGTTTGTTGTTGTTGTTGTTGGGGAAGGCACAGTTACTATAACTTATATTTCTTTTGTTGCAGGCTCTAATTAAACTAAAGCAATTCGGTTTGTGGTTTTCTTTTCAATTTCCATTAGTCGGCTTAGATTCTCTCTTTACTTTTCTTTATCATTTTTGTTTTTGTTTTAGTTTCGTTTTTGTTTTTGTTTTTGTTTTTATTATGATTTTTGTTGCGGTTTTAATTTGAATATTTATTTTTGTATTTACAATTTGTATTTATTTTATTTTTACGACTTTTGTTTTGGGTTCTCAAGTCAAATAACAGTTGCAATAAACAAGCGTTCAACTTAATTGCTCTCATTTAATATAATTTACAAGAAAAACTTACTTATAGCTAAGTCTGCCTTTGTTTAATATTTACGTTTGCTGTGCTTACTTTTGTTTTTGTCTCTGTTGTTGTTGTTGTTTGGGTTTCCTTTTATTTTCGTTAACTTTTACTAGTGAGAATATTGTTTGATTAAATTATACATCGTTTATATATATATATATATAAATCAGTTATATATATAGCGACTTTATATATATATAGATATATATATATTGTTTACAACTTTAGTTAATTTCTGTTCTGTTCAATGTTTATGTTGGGTGCTTAATGTTTTCTTTGTTTTTGTAGTTTTTTTTTGTTTTCTATTTTGTTTTGTTTTTTATATAAATAAAAAATATAATAATTTTGTTTTTCGTTTCGAATAATACATAAATGTATATAAGCCATACAAAGAAAATACGTGTGGGTGGCTGAGGAGGGGGGAGTCTGGGTATATTATGATTCTCATAATTTATGATTAGATGTTAACCACGTCAGACCCTCGTAGAGCCCATCGCCGCTTGTGGCACATGATGGCTGGACATACCAATTGCGATCTCTTATTCTAGTTAAGCCTAGTTTTTCCTGGATTTCATGGGGTTTCATTGCTGCAAAGGAAAACACATAAATATACATCACATATAAATTGGAAGGTTATTTCTAGTATATATTTACCATCAGCTAGATCCTGTTTATTAGCAAATATCAATATAATGGCATCACGCATCTCCCTATCATTAATTATCCTATGCAGTTCAGTGCGCGCCTCGTCTATTCTATCGCGATCTGCGCAATCCACAACGAATATTAGACCCTGTGTGCCTGTGGCGAGTTCAAGATTAATATTAGTTATATTCACTATATTTATGTATTGTAGGGTATCTTACCTGTATAGTAATGCCGCCATAACGGTCGAATTTTATCCTGCCCGCCAACATCCCAGACATTGAATTTAACATTCTTATACGTTACTGTCTCCACGTTAAAACCCACCGTTGGTATCGTTGTTACAGATTGACCTAGTTTCAGTTTATAGAGAATCGCTGAAAAAGATCAAATATCATTGAATGAAGTTGCTCAAATTTTTGTTAACTGAATATAATTCTTATTTACTATGAGCATAGAATATACATAAATAAGCTTGAATTTAGGTCAAGTTTATTTCCATTGCAAGTCTTTTCTAGTTTTCTTTTTTCGCCTGATAGATATTTACTTTAAGGCCTATAATAGATATTACATATAAATAAAATATAATTAAATTAATTTTACTTCAAATAAAAATATTTCTATTTTTCATTTAATTTTTTTAAATTGTGATTAATGGAAAACAGGCCAATGAGCATTTTATCTATCAATAATATTATAAATAAATAATTATTTTCTTTTAAATGAACAAATATCAAAAATTAAAAAACAATGTATTTATGTATAAAGACACAAGAATATTATGTTATTCGAAAAACTACTATATATGAAAAGAAGTTTAAAATATCTTAAACAAATGTTATATATATTTAACAATATGTAAGATATTTTTTTTAATTCCCTTTAAATGCACATATATATATATATATTCTTTGTTATCATTATAATATATTATAGTCTATTAATATAATATGTATTATATAATAAATAATTTAAATAAAAATATTTACTATTTTTACAAATAAGAAAAACATACTTAATATCCAATTAGCTATTATACTTGAAATACTTAAATATTTAACTAATGACATAGATAGCCTCCATATCTCCCCTCTCTCTCCCACCCTCTTTGCAACTCACTTGTTTTGCCAGCAGCGTCCAAGCCGAGCATAAGAATTCGCATTTCTTTGTTGCCGAAAATTTTTGATAATAATTTTCCCATGATGATGTGTCATCCATTAAACGTTGGCCAAACTGCAAGACAAATCAAATTACTATATTTACATATATACAGAAAGATATATGGCAACTGGGGTCAAGCGGTCAGAGCGAACACAAAAGTTGCCAGCGAAAAAATTTCATGATAAATTTTATTGTAAAATAACTGCTATCAATTTTATTATTGTGTGTGATATAAGCATGCCGCTACACACACTATATATACACACACACTTACGCTTTTAGCATAATGCGTCAACGGAAGTTAAGAGCATTATTTTGCATAATAATTTAACTTACAACGTTTAAATTCAGAGAGAATTTATCGCTGCCACACACACGCACACATCCATAGAAACACTCGACACCACACACACACACACACACTAAGCAGTAGCACACAACTCAAGTACAATTGGGCACACACGCACACGGAACGATCATAAATTAAACAAATATTAACTTAATGGGAGCTCCCAATTCAATTAAGCTCAGTACGCTGTCCATGCAAAAGCAGCTGTCATAGCCGGCCTGGCGGAGCTGCCTGCTGTTCCTGCTCCTGCTGATCCTTGGCAACCAGAAGCATTCAGCGTGTGTGTCACGTCACATACACGCCCGTACACACACACACATACAACACACATCCGCATACGCACGCATACACACCCAAAATTCTAGACGACGTTTGTTGGTGGAGATTACGCTGCTCAACGTTCGACGCGCGCCTTGGCCTGGGCTTTTACCATGTAGCGTTACAACACGTCGCGCTCAAATTGTGCATACAATGCATTTGCATAGAAAACAAAAACAAAAAATACTACTAAATTGTATTATAAACTATAACAACAAATTTTGCACTAATGTTCTCATATTTGTATGCGCTGAATGTTTTCTTGTTTTTTTTTTATTTTTTATCAGCGCTGCCACTACGCGTGCATCTCTTGTGGTGTGTATCCACTGGCAAAACATCGTATGGCAGCGCCACCAGTGTTGCTAAATGCTCACAGTTCAGTTGCTTAGCAGCACTGCTGCCAATAGATGGCGTAACAACAAAGAGCATTTGTTCGTTTGCTCAAATGGTAATCATTTATAATAATAATAATAATAATAATATAGAAATAATATAACAAATAATGGAATTAAGTTAATTACGACAAGTGCAAACACAATAAAATATGGCTGGCATTTATACCAGAGAGGCGGTGCGCGTCAAAGTCAAGGTATGCTATTTTCTTTTCTCGTCTGCTAGGCAGACAGAAAACAAAGACAACAATTTTCACCCGTTCTTGCACACTCTCCCCCATTGTCGTCCCCCACGCACTCACACCCACGCGTAGAAGTGCGAAGCAACGCGTCCACCAGAATGGCGCAAATTTTCGGTGGATCCACAAATAACAACATTGGAAGTACTCTACTCGCTGTTAGCCAAGGCATTCGACATCAAATCCGATTTCTCAATCAAATACAAAGCATTCGATCCAGCTGGCAATGAAATCTATTTGGCCGTGCTCTCCGACTGGGATCTGGATGCTGCCTTTCTACGCATACACAATATATCAATACAGTTGGCATCGGAGCCGTGCCTAATGCTACAGATCGACGTTAAACCCTTTACCGTTGTCCGAGAGTGTGAAACGGAGACGACAACAACAACAACAACAACAACGACGACGACAACAAACACGAACAGCAGCAGCAGAGTGAGCGGCACCGGCAGCTTCTCGGCCAGCGTTTCTCCGCTGCAATCGCTGGGGGTCTCACAGAAATACGTGCAGCATATGCAAACCAAATTGCCAGGCCTTATAATGAATCAAATGGAGAAGACATTCTCCATCGTGCAAAAGGCCTTTAATCTGTCAGATGAGCATATGGCCAACTTGCCCCCACGTCCGCCCATGTGCGACAGCGAATTTCGTCTATTTTTGGATGCACTCGGACAGATTCAGCGTCGAGATGAGCTGCGAAAGGTGATTTTTCTGGGTGGCATTGAGCCGAGCTTACGCCGCGTTGTCTGGAAGCATTTGCTGAATGTTTACCCCAGTGGCCTGCACGGACTGTCCTTGGATGGGCATCAGCGCATGGAGTTTATGCGTCGCAAGTCGGAACAATATTATAAATTGCGCGACAACTGGAAATCGGCTGTGCAGCGAGGATCTGTGGCCGGTGAACTGGCCTATGTGACGAGCATGGTGAAGAAGGACGTTTTGCGCACAGATCGACTGCATCCATTCTATGCGGGCAGCGACGACAATCAGAATATTGCCTCGTTATTCAATATATTAACCACATATGCGCTGAATCATCCAGTTGTTAGCTATTGCCAAGGCATGTCCGACATAGCCTCGCCCCTGCTAGTCACCATGAATGACGAGGCGCAGGCTTACATCTGCTTCTGTGCGATTATGGCGCGTGTGCGTGGCAACTTTATGTTGGATGGCATTGCCATGACGCAGAAGTTTGCGCATCTGACGGAGGCTTTGAGCTTCTATGATCCGGAATTCTGGGAGTATTTGAAATCACAGCAAGCCGACGATCTGCTTTTCTGCTATCGTTGGCTACTGCTCGAGCTGAAGCGGGAATTCCCATTTGAAGATGCTCTGCGCATGCTGGAAGTACAATGGAGCTCACTCTGCTATGACAATAACAGCTCCAAGGAGCTCTCTCTATACGAAAAGGTGCGTTTGGCTGTGATGCGAGATAAGTTTGTTAAGTTATAACAAACTATAATGTTTTGTCATAGATTAGATAAGCTTAAGAGTGAGCTCTGGCTACAAAGAACTGTTAAGTTGGAGTGTTTAGCGATAAGATAAAGGCATAAACATAAACAGTTCTGTAAATAATTACTTTGTGCAGTTGTTAAAATCAAATTTTCTATGTTGATAAAACGTGAGTTATGCAGAGTTAATGTAAATTAATTCAGTCTAGAGAGTTGGATGTGATTATAGAACATAGCCAAGTTTAAGCCAACAACTAAGAGTTTAATTTTAAAAGCAGTAAGAATGTTCCTAACGGGCAATGCCGGGTAGAGTCTAATAGTTATTTTTACTCATTCTCAGTTGTCCCGCCTAATAAGTGACTAAGAGTAAAGCATTAGCCAATCATACATGAATCACATAATGTATGTATATATATATATATATAAATAAATCAATTTATATATATTCATCTAATTTCATACCTGGCAAAGTGTTGCAATTTGCATCCTCTCGATGAACGTTTAGCTGAAATGAATTAACGCACTGTGTGAAAAGCTTAAGAATTGTGAATTTCTGGAATAGATTTGTTTAAATTTTAAATATTTTGTATGTGAATGTTATGTCATGACCAGCTTAAAGTCTTTCGAGTGTATGTAAGGGGATATGATATAATAATAATATGTGAAAAGATTAGCTGTGAGACAATATAGTAGATCATCAGATGATCAGCAAATATTATATAGATGAAATGAGATCCATAGCATAGCTGCACACCTTATAGACTAGATGCATTGCAAGTTCTAGTTAACAGACAGAATATTTTTGTATTATGACAGATTGTTTGTTATCTCTATAGAGTAGTTACATCCGCAGTAAACTCTAAGCTAGGAATGATCAGTTGTAAGTCCTTCAGACTAGTTCCAATTCCAGCTCAAAATTCTTTGTTCTAATGCAATATATTTTCATGTAACCAGGAATTTGTGCCCATAACGGAAACCTCGGCGCCCAATAGTGCCAGCACGTTTTCCACATCGTACAGCGCCACGCCCACAAGTCCTTCGTATCTGCTAACGAAGCCGAGAGAGAATCCTTATACGAAAGTCTGTGCATTGCGTAGACAAAGCTCGTCGGCTTCGCTTAGTTCGTTGAGCTCCTCGGTGGGAGCGGCCAGCAACAATGCTTTGGATAATTCAAAGCGCCTGAATCATAGTCTGGACGATAATATGTCAAGGCACGCAGCGCGTAGGCAGCGCAGGACATCGGCGAAGGCGCATCAGAGTCTGGATGAATCGAAGATGTTGGCGCTGATTGAGGGTGGCGTGGCCGAGCAGAATGCCAAGTCGGTGCAGGAGCTGAGCGCCAGCGAGGATACGGATGATGATGTCTTTGATCGCAGGGAACAGTCTGTGGGCTCGCCGCCACAATTCCATGAAACGAATCCGTTTAAGGACGACGCACAACAGCCGAATAATAATATGAATAACAATAATAATGTAGCTACGCCCGCTAGGGTTTTCCTCTCATCAACATCATCTTCCAATTTGGGCGAGGAGAAGGCGCCGCCGCAGCAGCAACAGCAGCAGCAGCAGCAGCCATCGGTCCAGGGCCTGGCCAAGCTGCAGCAGAAGAATATTTTGAATGTAAGCAATATGATAGCCAAGCAATTGGCAACGAATGCCAGCACGGTGAGCGAGAGCGTTAAACGCGTGAGCAGCACCAGCGGCGGACATTTCAAGGATCTCAAGGAGAAAATCGCGGCCAGCAGTCGCATGGGCATCTCGTTCGACAACGAGGATGCCCCACCAAAGCTGGTCAAGAATTTTAATGAATTTCTCAATTTTGCAGCGATCAACAAGAATCGCATTTCGGATCGTTTGGCCAATCAGCTGCAAATCAGTGAGAAGCCACAGAAGGACATGGAGCTGAGCAAGCCAGTGGTGCAGCTGACCAAAGGCGGTGCATTGGGCAGTTCTTTAGATGAATCGGATTCCTCTTCCATACCAGAGACTAGCTGGAGTGCCTCAACTGCGGCAACAGCCATACAGCAGGCGCAGGAGCTGAGCAGTTATAGTTTGCAATTGGATTTGAATGCCGTGTCGCCTGTCAAGCACGAGCAACAGCAGCAGCCGCAGCATATAGAGGAGAGCACGCCCGATCAGGATGGCGATCAGGGGTATTATCCGATGACAAATGCCATAACGCGCGAACTGCGTTTGGAATCGGAGAATTTGGATCGCCAGGTGTTCGGTTTGCCCTTTACGGAAAAGCAAACCAACGCTGCTCTAGCCGACGATATAGAATATGAAAAGTTGGATAAGGATACGCTAGACATGGTGGACGATCTCAAAGAAAATGAGATCATCACATGTCCCGATGTCAGTGAGCTGCATATGCGAAGACGTCAACGTCTCGCCGCAGCCAAGAGCAACAGTGTGCAGCCCGCTAAGACAGAGACGCTGAATCCCTTCATTGACGAGAGTCAGCTGATGGAGGGCGGCATGCGTAACAGCAATAGTCTGCCCGAGGTCATCATGCCCATCTCAACGGAACCGAATCGTGTGGAGGCGCCCACGCTGGTCGAAATAGCAACCAATGCCGACGATGAGAGCGCCTACAGCGCCTACACTCGCTCACCTCAACGCAGTCCGCTGAACGGTCTGAATAGCACAGCGGCTGCTCTGCCGCCACCGGCTGAATTCGGTGGCGGCAACGCGTTCCTTATGTTCCTCTGCCTAACACTGCTGCTGCAGCATCGCAATACAATTATTAAATCGGCGATGGACTACAACGAGATAGCGATGCACTTTGATAAGATGGTGCGGAAGCACGATGTGACACGAGTCCTGAATCAGGCGCGGCGCATGTACTTTGAGTACTTGCAGGCGCAGCGTACACAATCGTCAGCGGGAGTGGGCGCCGGAGCTGGAGCAGCAGTCGGCGCAGTCAGCACAACAGAAGCCACAAATATATAGCCAAAGCTGGTGCGAAGAGGGCGAGTGGATCAGGGCAAAGCTTGAGGGGAGTTAAGGACAAAAGACTTGGCTGCGATGCTATATATATATAGCTTAAGGATCAAAGAAAGCATGGAAGGTCGAGACTTGACATTCTATATATATATATATATATAGTCTAAAGATCACAAAGCTAAGACATAACTGTACAGACTTGTCTAAGACAAAGAAGACGTAACGATCATAGAGGGAGATATAGAGAGTCCAAGAAGACAGAGAAAGAGTTGCCTGCGATTCTATATATAAGGATTATAAAGTCTTGACTAGTCTAAGATGTCGGCGAGATGTTTATATAGCGAAAAGAGGAAGCACACAAATGTATAGAGTCTAAGCAAGCAGAATGATTATGAAATGAAGATATTTTGGAATGGCAGGACTGTCTAGACTTGCGTGACATTCTATATATGTAGCGAAGGAAACATGTAACGACTCTACAGACTTGTCTGGCAAATATAGACATATATCGTCTAAGCAGTAACTGCTTTCATACAGTTAAAGCTATACGATCCACATTCAGCCCAGCAATCGCTCCATTTTTAATTGATCAAAGAAACGAAAGTTTTCCAAATTTGTATTTCTACTTTGTTTACCTGCTTTAGTTAATTATTTATTTAATTTATTAACTGCCAAAGTACACAGGCCAAAAATTAATTAGTTTTTCCATTTGGTTAACATTCCACACAAAAGTTTAAACAATTTACGCTTGCAATTTGTAATCTCAAACAAACTACGTACTTAATACTTGTAACTAAAAAACGTAAAGAAAACTACAAACTTAAAAAACTTAACTGTTAAAATTATCTCACTTGACTTATTCCAAGCTAAACCAAATTTGTTGTATGTTTAATGAATTCTTTTTTCCATTTTTGCGTTCCAAATTTTGTGTAAAATTTAACGAGTAACGAAATTTTTAACAATTTCTAAATAAAAAGCATGCCAAGACAAGAAAAATATATAAAGAAAAATCCTCAGATGAAATATTTAGTGTTGTTTTTGAATTCAAAATATTTTAAAAAATTGTATCATTTTTATGTGCTTCAATACTGAAATATTCTTAAAAGAAAATAAGCCAAAAACGCAAGTGGCTTAGTTAGGAATTATGGAATAAGAAGTTTCAAAGCTGACCAATCCAAAATTGTGATTTTACATCATTTTTAAGTCCTTCATAAATGTTTCTCTTTTTTAAGTTGTTCATCAATGTTTTCATGCTACTTTTCATACTATTTTTTAAGATCAATTTGAAATTAAATTTAAAAACTTTTTAATTTTGAAAAAAAGAAAACAAAACAAAATATTTTTTAAACTGAATATGAAACAGATTTGATTTTTTTAACTAAAGATTTCAATAATTATTTTTTGATCTTAATATAATTAGTATGTAAAATCTATATGAAGAAAAGGATGAACTTATGGAGCTTTGAAATAGGATTTACATTGAAGTAAATATTTTTGGATATATAGAATTGTCTGCTGACTATTACATTATCAAAACTATGCATATATAATAAGTATATATGTGGATATACTTATGCATATTAAGTCTTGATATTTACGTTAATAGACATCTACTTCTGTGCGTTATATATAGTTTGGTAAACGTCCAATACACTGGGTAAGGCATTGACTGTATATATACTAAATACGAGTTATATATATATATATATATCAATCTATTGTTTCCACGTTAGGTATATGCCTCAGTAATACAATACGTGAACTGCTATCAGCTTAGTAACTGATATAATACATCAGATATATAATAAACTATAGACTATATTCCTTCTTAATGCTGCTTAAGTACATATATTTCGTACATAAATTATAATTTATTGACAAAATCTTCAAGGCTCACAACAAGGCCATCATAATCTATGCATATTTATGGACACATTTTAGCAATTCAGAAAAAAACAAATACAAAAATAGTTACGCAATTCACTTAAAACATTAAACAAAGACACAAACACAAGAGAGACATAAATTGAATTCAAAAATTATATTTTGCTTTGAGGCGCTCGCGTATGATTAGCCCCTTGATGAGCTTCTTCCAATTGCCGTAGACGTGCGTTTCGTACTTCTCTTGCTCCCTGCGCGCCTGCTCCTGCTGATCCTCCTCCCAGGCAGCGATGACAACCTCGGCGAACTCCTCGCAAACAACAAAGCCATCGTACATGGGATGGCAAGCGCCCTGATGGAAGTCAAAGCCCACAACGGCATTCGCACAATCTATGTTCAGCTTCTTGCAGACACGCATCAGACCGGGCACTGTGAAGGGCAGCATCAAATTAGTCAAAGCTGGAGATTAGTGGTATATATATAGCATATAGTTACTCACATCTGAGATGCACTGTTTTCTTGGGCAACATGCATGCCTTGAAGAGTTCCACATTTCCATAGGCATTCCGTGGCACCATTCCATTTTCGGCTGTGGGCGGTTCATAGTCTTGCGTTTGCCAATAGCCAAAGATCTCCAGCGGCTGATCCTTGATGACGCTGCGTGTGAGCTGCAAGAGGAAATGGTATTACATATGACTATAGAGAAGACGAGTAATAATAGTCCCACATAGAGCAAGCTAAACCCATCCTCACCTTATCCCACTTAGGTCGCGCCTTGACAACTTTGTAGGGCTGTTCGCCCAGCTTGACGACGCGCGCGCTCTTCAGCCAAATCTCGCGTGAATGCAGCAGATGTACGCAGTCACGGGCGTACACAGCCTCGCCACGTATGAAGCCCAGAGTGGGTGCATCTGGTGGATAGATACCTTGGAATTTGAGTAGATGCCGTTCGAGCGCATACAAAGGATGATCCTTGAACTCGGATATGGATTTGGGCAGTGGTTTGTCGGAGTGTATGCGACGCAGTTCTTCATCCTCGCGTATGTCACGCTTCGTTCGCCTGCCCAAATAAGGAGCTAGTGTTTCGTCTAGCCAGGACTTTTCCACGCGTGACTTGCGCACCGTGGTCGTCCAGCTGGGGCAGTAGCGTGCAGTTACATCCTTTAGACTGAGATCGTCCTGGAAGGCGAAGACATAGGCTAGGCTCGAGGAGGCGTTTCGCTGTAAGATTTCGATAATAAGACATTGGGATTCATCTGGACATCTACTCCCACTTACCCTTATGGTGTCCACGCAGTGCAGCTTGCCCTTGAACAGATCTATGCATATCCACTGCTCCTCCACCTCAGACCACACCTCCACCCACATATCGGATGCTGTGGTTTTCTTTTTCTCCTTGACGCACTCATCGTCTGTGGAGAGCACGCGACGATCTTTGCGTAGATGCTGCACTACTTTGGGCAGCACCGGAGCCTTCTTGATGGCTGGACTGGGCGTTGAGCCTGCAGACGTTGAACCACTGCTTTGGCTCTGGGATTTCTGCAGCTTCTGCAACTTGATTCGCCTCTGGGACAATGGCAAGCTATCGTCGCCGCCATCTAGTTGAGGTATGGCCAGCATTTTGGCCTTTTGCTGACGCGTCCGCAGCTCCCGTTTGGGCTCATCATCTTTGGTGATCTTGGCTCTGCCTGACTTGGCTGCAGTTGAAGCAGCAGCTGCATCATGGTCGCCTTTTAAGAATTGTGTCGAGATGTACGTCTTGGACGATTTGCTGCTCGGGCGCGTCTCGCACTCCACGAGCTGATTCCCGCCGGGCTTGGCGTTCTCAGCATCATTCTGTTTGGTCTTCTTTGCCTTAGGATTGCGCAGCAATATTTTGGGTATTACAGGGGAACCTACTTTAGCTGCTGGATAGGAAACTTCTTCGGCTTTCTCCTTGTCGACGGATGCCTTGCGTGTACGGCGTGCCACAGGCGAGTCCTCAACTTGCAGCTGCTGCTTGGCACGCTTCACAGCACCCGCTTCGGGCAGCTTTGGTGCACGCTTCAGGCGCATCAGCTGAGGTTTCACTTCGTTGGCCACTTCGATTGGCTTGGGCGCCGCCACGGGCTTGCCTGTGCTTGACTTTGCGTCTGCCTTGACTGCAGCAGTCGTGGCAGACCGTGAGCTGCTGGCTTTGTGTTCCACATTCATCTTCTGTGCGTTCGTCTTGGGCTTCGCTTTAGAGTTGGAGCTGGCAGCTTTGAGCTCTGATTCGGAGTTGCTATCGGAGTGTTTGATTTTGGATTTCTGGCTGTTTGATCTGGACTCAGCAGCAGCTGTTTTCGAGCTGCTCTTGGGCTCTCCTTTGGGTTTCTTGGCGCTGCTGTTGCTGCTCTTCAACTCTTCAGTGTCTTTCTTGGCAGCTTTGGCTGGTATATTCGAGCTAGAGTTGGGCTTTGGACTGCTCTTGCTGGCAGATCTCTTAACAACTGCTCGAGGCTTGGACTCGACTGGCTTCAAGCTGCTTGCCTTCTGCTCCTCCAACTCCTCCAACTCCTCCACTTCCTCCTCCTCCTCCTCCTTCTCTGTTTTAATCGTCTGACTCTTATTCTTTTCCTCCTGCTTCAATTTAATGGGTATCAAATCGCTGGCCTGCGGCCGCAATGCCATCGGCTGCAGATTGACAATCAAGCGACAGTTCATGCCCATGCCGCGTGCAAGTACAATGAATATGAAGATCATATCCTGTTTGCAGCGGGCTTCCTTGCGCTTAATCTGTGCCAGCAGCTCCTCGATTATGGCGCGCTTCGAGCCAGCCTTGGCCTGCGACGCATATAAATCCTGGCTGAGCAGCTTGATTGCGGTCTTGAACCAGGTGACAAATGATTGCAAATACTTCAACTCGACGCCCTTTTCGGTGGGATAAGCGTTGCGGCTGGGCAGCAGCTTGAGCGTGGCCTCCATAAGTGTCGTGTCTGCCAGCAGGCGATTGTATTTCATGCTGCGCGCCAACAGGCACAGTAAACTCACTTTGTGCATGAGCAGCTGACGATCCTTGATGTCGCGGTTCAGGCGACGCTTCAACGCCAGCTCCAATTCGTGCTGTGTCTTCTGCTCTTTGGTTAGGCGCGTGGGCTGTGCGCCCACAACAATTTCCAAATCTCCTGACACATTGGGCGTGGCATCCGCATCCGCATCGCTGCTCAGCTGAGCATCTGCAAAAAGTCGGTTTTTCGTTTACAGTCTGTGTCTAAAGTTTACGTACAGGCGGAGTAATGAAAGCAGCTGAGAGTTTGATGTTTTTTTATCTAAGTTTTATTTTACTTTTGCATTTATATTTATTTCATTTGAAGTGCATTTTAAATTTTTTAAATACATTTTTTAACATTCACTAAAATTGCGCTAAAATTATGCTTGTTTTTTATTTATTTTTTTTATACATGTTTTTTCTTGTATTTTGTGAAATGAATACAATTTTGCTAAAGTAAATTCGTTTTAACATCAGTTCTAATTTTTTTTTAGCTATTTTTTATATTAGTTTTAATCTTTTTTTGTTTTGCTTTTTGAAACACTTTGGAATTGTTGCCATAAAGTAAGTGTATTTAACATTTTTCTTAAGTCTTGTTCTTTTCCTTACGCAAATAATAATATATTAAAAAAATGTAAAACACACAATGAAATAAATGCATATGCAGTAGAGCCTGCCTAACGTGAACAGTAATAGAAATAAATAGAAAAAAAAATTAAAAATATTAAATTGAATTTTAAATATCTTTTTCTCATTTAATTTAATACTTTCTTTTCTTCTTAGGCAGTTTCTACTGTACTTAAAAAAATTAATTCAATTTGCTTTATACTAAAAACTATTTTGATTCGTTTTCTATTTTTTATTTGTTTTTTGTTTGTTTTTTAAATTGTGCAAACACGCAGAATATTTTGGAAAAAATTTGTTTTCTTTTCAACATTTCACAACACTGAAACATTTATAATTTTTGCTTTGTTTAGTTTTGTCAATTGATTCGTGCTCCAAAAACAACATTCAGAAGAATTTGCGCGTTTGTTTAATTCTGTTTTTTTTTTTTATGATAAGAGAGACTGCTAGTTCAGTGTTGGTTAATTAGCTTGTAGTGTTTGGTAGAGTTAGTGTTGTAAAGTATAGCATAAAGCGTGTTAACTAAAGCGCTCTAAAGTGCCATTTCTATGCCATGTTCAGTCTAAGAGACTATAAAGATCTAGGACCCAAACAGTTAGCATTGCTTTAAAGTTTCTCTATTTAAGAATAGTTTTTAAATTAAAATTTAGCTACAATAAATATTTTTTAGAGTTTTAGAATCAAGTTTTTCAAAATAATATTTAAAATATATTTTATTATTGAAACTTTTAAGTAAATCAATTTAATTTAACTAAAAGCCAATTTGTGTTTTTAAATGGAATTTAAAAAAAATTGAATTTTTAATATTAAAAATTTTGCAAAAAAATTTCAAAATAGTTTTCGTTTTATTTTAAAAATTATTCTGTTTGTATTATAAGTAGAAAATATTTAGGACTTTCAGTACAATAAATATTCTCCTAAATTCTGTTTTTTTTTTTTAATATTCAAAGTTTTTTAATGATAAATTCGAAAATCTCTAAGAATATTCGTTAGACATATAGTTAAGAAACTCTTTAAATACTGTTTTTATTTTAATAGGAAAATTTCTGTTTCATTTATGTTGTAAATTATTTAGGATATCTATTTTTTTTTTTCAAAGATATAATTTAAATGTTTTAAAATTAGTTTTTACTTCAACTGCAAAATATTACAATTTTAAAGTTTTCCACTGGAAAACCTAAATTACAAAAAAAAAAAAATTAAAAAAAACCTTCAATTTGTAAGCTATTTTTATTTAAATTCTAAAAAAATTTTAGTTTTATTTTATCATTTAAAAACTCTAAAAAAAAAACTTTTGTATATAAAAAATTTTGGAATGTATTTTAGCTAATGCAAACTGCCTGAGTCTGGCTTAACAGTTATATATATATAAGTTAACACATAACATTTAATATAGGGTATTTCATAAGTTTATAACCAACCCTCGCTATCGCGTGTTTCGTAAGTTAAGAAACAGCCCTCGCAATTGCGACACTGCATACTTTGTATCAGCGCGCTATAACTGCAATGGTCAGCGGCGGTAACCAGATACTTTTGTTTACTGCAAGAGTTTCCGTTATTGCCTAAGATTGCTGAGTCGGCTTGCCGACCATGACATTGTGGTGTGATGCGAGTTTTGGCTTAGCTTAAGTGAAATATTCTATGTAGCTAAAAATCAGTTTTGCATTGAAGTTTGAAGAATAAACCCGCACTACTCCGGCACACCGCCGTAATCAAATTGTTATATTTCTGATCATTGCTGAGCCACAAGGCCAGTTAATAGAAAAGGGGGTGAAGTCAAACCCTCCAACATAATCATCATAAGAAGATTATAATTACCCGATCAACGCTGGACCTGCCACCGACGCCTAGCTCATAGCTGGACCAGCAACTTATTGATTAAGACTATAAATACCCGATCAACGCTGGACCTGCCACCGACGCCTAGTTCATCGCTGGACCAGCAACATATTAATTGGCGCCCAACGTAAAAAAAAAAAAAAAAAAAAAAAAAAAAAAAATTTTTTTTTTTTTTTTGGAATTTAAATCATGTAAGTGGATACTCCAGCCAACATTTTTTTTTCAAACACAAAATTTCTTAAATTTACTTTATAAAAAATTTGTTAGTACTAGTGAGTATTTCGTATTGCAACAGATTAGATTATAATAATCAGAACCAAGTTTCTGAAATACGTGAGAGTGGCTGCTCTGAGAATTTAGGCTGATAAAAATACTTAGTGTTACTTTCTATGTGTCTAATTCGACCCATCTTTTGACGGCCCGTTTAATTTTTCGCGGCCACTGGCCTGCGCATGCCACGGTTCAGCCAATATAGAAGCCCTCGCGAGCAATCTAGCGACTCAGATTCCGACTGTGACACTCGTATCAGAGTTCCGTCTACAAGACTTATACCGGCAGTTCCTCCACCATCAGATAGAATGGATCCAGATCAGCTTAGGGAAGTAGTAAGAACGGCCATCAGCAATGCCTTAGCCGAACAGGCCGCTGCAAACCAGCAGAGGGAGCAAGCATTGACTCAAAGAATTAATGAGTTAGCTAAACAAATAGCAGCAACAAGCTTTGCCACCCCACAAGTAGTAGCATATTCTGCTATAGAAATTAGAAACGATATTCACTGTGACGAGCCGCTAGATGCCGTCAAGTGCTTACCTGAGTTCGCAGGAGCACAGGAATCTTATGTATCTTGGAGGCAGGCAGCATTAGCCGCTTACGAGATCTTCAGACCACATAATGGCAGTTCTCGTCATTATCAGGCTGTCATCATTATAAGAAGCAAGATTAGGGGCCCCGCAGACGCGGTGCTGGCCTCATTTGGTACTGTACTGAATTTTGATGCGATAATAAATCGCCTAGATTTCACATACAGTGACAAGAGACCAATTCATGTCATTGAACAGGAATTAGGTACCTTGAGGCAAGGTGGCCTGTCCCTGCTTCAATATTACGATGAGGTGGAGAAGAAACTCGCTCTTCTCACTAACAAAGTTAACATGTCATATGAGCCGGCTTTAGCAAAGGGCCTATGTGAAAAATTCCGCGACGATGCGTTGCGTGTGTTCATATCGGGTCTCAAGCGCAGTCTTACAGACGTGCTCTTTGCAGCAAAGCCCAGAGATTTGCCTTCAGCACTAGCTCTCGCACAAGAAGTCGAGTCAAACCATGAAAGGTACGCATTCGCGGCTAACTTCGCAAAAAGTCTAGAAGACAAAGAGCGCAAGCCGCATGCAAAAGCACAGGGTCACCAACAGGAGAGGCATTCGCAACAAGCCGAAACACAAGCTAGCGGTACAAAGAATCCGCACTTTAGCAAGCAAAGCAGGGCCCCAGTGCAGTCTGACCAACGAAGCAGCAGGCAGCACAATAATAATGGCGCACCGGTGCCCATGGAGGTCGATCCTTCCTTCTCAAGGGTCTTGCAGCCCACTCAGGCCCCTGCTTACGCGAATAGGAAGCACCCCGCATCTGACCGCACAAGCGGTCAGAGGAATCAGCAGAGGCTGAATCACGTCACACAAGACGTGGGACAGGGGGCAGAGGCGTATGCTGATGCCGCCTCTAGCGCAGCGGCACAAATCAATGACGATAGTTATGACTCTGAAGCCCTCAATTTTTTAGGAGCAAATCCCTGCTACCCGTCATCAGACGAAGAGTAGCAGGGACTGACATGCGATTCCTCATAGACACGGGCGCGGCCAAGAATTTCATTCGGCCACACGAGGGGTTGAAAGGCGTCCGCTCGGTAGAGTCCCCCTTTAAAATTCATTCCATTCACGGCGAGACACAAATCACACACAAATGCTTTGTTTCAATGTTTGGGTTAAAGGCAACCTTTTTTATTCTGCCGGACTTATCAACTTTTGATGGGATTGTAGGCCTTGACCTGCTAAAGCAGGCAGCTGCTTCGCTTTGTCTAGCTTCAGGACAACTTAAGTGGGGTACGGAGGTCGAACAAATCACCTTCCACACGTGCAAAAATGTAAATTTCACGAATGTAGACTGTGCAGAGGCATCCCCTTTAGCTAGAAGTTCTTTTTTGAAAATGCTAAAAGCTAGACAAAAGGCCTTTGCGGACCCAGACGAGGCGTTGCCGTATAACACATCAGTCGTGGCTACCATTAGGACCACAGATGAGCAACCGATCTATGCCAAGCTTTACCCATATCCAATGGGAGCAGCTGATTTCGTTAACAAAGAAATCAAAGATCTGCTAAAAAATGATATAATTCAAAAGTCCGTCTCTCCCTACAATAACCCAATATGGGTAGTAGACAAGAAGGGTACTGATGAAGCAGGCAATAGGAAAATGAGGTTGGTAATGGACTTTCGTAAACTTAACGAAAGAACCGTGCCTGACAAATACCCTATACCAAATATATCAATGATATTGGGGAATTTGGGAAGAGCCAAATTCTTTTCAACATTAGACCTCAAGTCTGGATATCACCAGATCATACTCGCTGAACGCGACCGTGAAAAAACCGCTTTCTCTGTGAACGGGGGGAAATACGAGTTCAAAAGACTCCCCTTTGGATTAAAGAATGCAGCAAGCATCTTCCAAAGAACCATCGACGACATACTGCGAGAGCAGATTGGCAAATTCTGCTATGTTTATGTCGATGACGTAATCATCTTTTCAGAAGATGAGGAATCCCACATTAAACACGTGGATTGGGTCCTAAAAAGCTTATTTGAAGCAAACATGAGGGTCTCCGTCGAAAAATCACGTTTTTTTAAGAAAAGCGTGAACTTTCTTGGTTTCATAGTCACCAGCACTGGCGCCACGACGGATCCCGAAAAGGTTAGGGCAATACAAGAGTATCCAGAACCTAAAACACTGTTCGAGGTCAGATCATTTCTAGGCCTCGCAAGTTATTACAGATGTTTCATTAGGGACTTCGCCGCTATAGCAAGACCCATCTCGAATATCTTGAAGGGTGAAAATGGAACAGTCAGTAAACATAGGTCCAGAAATATAAAAGTTCAATTCTCTGAAGTGCAGCAAAGGGCGTTTCAGAAATTGCGCGATATTTTGTCATCCGAGAATGTAATGCTTAGGTACCCCGATTTTAAGAAGCCATTCGATCTAACGACCGATGCTTCGGCTCACGGCATAGGTGCAGTTTTGTCACAAGAGGGTCGTCCTATAACAATGATTTCAAGAACATTGAAGGACAGCGAGGTTAACTATGCAACAAATGAGAGAGAGTTATTGGCCATCGTATGGTCACTTGCCAAGTTAAGGCACTATTTGTATGGGGTGAAAGACATTAATGTCTTCACTGACCATCAACCCTTGACCTTCGCAGTTTCGGAATCCAATCCAAATGCGAAGATCAAAAGGTGGAAAGCGCGCATTGACGAGTCTAATGCACGTATCTTCTATAAACCTGGCAAGGACAATCTGGTTGCGGATGCCTTGTCAAGACAACAGCTCAACGCTGTAAATGAACAAGAGATTGAGTCCTGCGCAGCAACGATCCACAGTGAGGTATCACTTACCAACACCATCGAGACAACAGATAAGCCCTTGAACTGTTTTCAAAACCAAATAGTTATAGAAGAGGCGCGTTTCCCCTTAAAACGAAGTTTTATTCTTTTTGGAAATAAGAAACGCCACTTGGTCAACTATACTTGCGTCGAATCGCTGCTAGACGAGCTCGAAGATGTAGTTTCACCCAAATGCGTGAATGCTCTCCACTGTAATTTACACACGCTTGCAATGATACAAGATACATTGGTTCGAAGATACCCGGCCACAAAGTTCTGGCACTGCAAAAATCGCGTAGTGGACGTATTGGCAGTTGGAGAAAGAAGGGAAATTCTCACGGCCGAACATAATAGGGCCCATAGGGCTGCACAAGAGAATATTAAGCAGGTACTCTCGGAGTACTACTTTCCAAAGATGGCAAAAATAGCCAATGAGATAGTACTAAATTGCAAAACATGTGCTAGGGCTAAATACGATAGACACCCCAAAAAACAAGAGATTGGGGAAACTCCGATACCCTCACATGTAGGAGAGATGTTACACATAGACATTTTCTCCACTGACAGGAAATACTTTCTCACTTGCATCGACAAGTTCTCTAAGTTTGCTATTGTCCAACCGGTCCCTTCAAGAACCATCGTGGATCTGAAGCCAGCGTTAATGCAGCTGATGAATTTTTATCCAAAAGCCAGATCCATCTACTGTGACAATGAACCGTCATTGAACTCAGAGACCATCGTGACTATGCTCGCAAACAACTATGGGGTCAGCATTTCAAATGCACCACCATTGCATAGCATCTCGAATGGACAGGTTGAGCGCTTTCACAGCACTCTCTTGGAGCTAGCCAGATGCCTAAAGATCGATAAGGGCATAAGTGACACGGTAGAAGTCATTTTACTGGCTACAACTGAGTACAATAAGTCGATCCATTCGGTCATCGACCAGAGACCAGTTGATGTGGTTCAGGCTCAACCAGATGAGCCACAAGAGAAAATACAAGAAAAGATCAGAAACGCTCAGATGACGCTTAGAGCTAGGGAGAACGCAAATCGGCAGAATAGGGTCTTTGACGTTGGTGACAAAGTTTTGGTCAAGTCCAACCGACGACTCGGAAACAAACTCACACCTTTATGTGATGAGAAGGCCGTGGATGCAGACCTGGGGACCGAGGTCCTCATTAGAGGGAGGGTGGTCCACAAGGACAACCTAAGATGACTCTTGTTTTTTTTTATTTTTAAGCCACTAGGCAAACTTGTATAAGTTAGATATAGTTTTTCAATTTACTGTTAGCCACTTGGCATAGTTTTTATTAAACATTTTTGGTGGTGGGCAAACCTTTTAAAAAAAAAAAGGTTGCTAAAAAGAAAGGAAACAACCTTATTTCACAGGTTGGGATCCATAGTACTCCTTTTCTTATCAGTGGCTTCGGCACATGTCACCGACTACTCGCGTGCCAAGTACATTCCCATCATCGACGGCGAAATCTTGATATGGGAAGAATACGCCTACGTTAGGCACTCGGCAAACCTCTCAGAATACGTGCGAATTGTGGAAGAAACGGTCAAATTAATTGACATGTTCCCGCTATCCCACATGAAAAAACTTCTGAGTGTGGACACGGTACATCTACAAGACCTATTGGAGGCGTTAGGCACGCATCATAGAGTCGCCAGAAGTTTAGATTTCCTAGGGTCTATACTGAAGGTTGTGGCGGGTACACCTGATGCCAGGGATTTAGAGCAGACTAGATTTACTGAAAGGCAGCTAGTAAATGCCAACAATAGACAGATAGAAATAAACACTAGAGTTCAAGACCAGCTTAACCAGTTGACATTCACTGTCAATAAGATTCTCAAGATAGCCAAAAACTCACAAGTTGACACTAGCCATTTATTCGAGACACTATTGTCTAGAAATAGAATGCTGGTAATGGAGTTGCAAAATTTAATGCTTGCTATTACTCTTGCAAAGGCTAACATTGTTAGCCCAAACATTTTGGACCACTCAGATTTGAAATCAATTTGGCTAGAGGAACCCACCAACACTCCCATAGGAGATCTTATGTCCGTTGCGTCCGTAAAAGTCCTTCAATCCATTAACACTATACATTTTATAATTAAATTCCCAAAGATTAAACAAGCTTGCAGAAAAATTACGATTTATCCTGTCATTCACAAGAATTTCATATTGCGATTGCCTGACAACGTCATAGCCGAATGCGATGGAAAAACCCACACACTGCAGAGTTGCACCGCTTCACCTGGAGCCACCTTTTGTCGTCTGGCATTAGAGAGTTCATGTGCCAAAGAGCTCCATGCAGGTGGCACGGCACACTGTGAAATCCAGCCGAGCAACCTGGAAATAATCACCCACGTAGATGATGGAATCATCATTCTTAACGACGGGTCCGCAAGGATCCAGGTGGATAACGGCACTGAAATCCAAGTACACGGCACGCATCTCATTACGTTCGGGGACCGAGTCGCGATCAACGGGACTCTGTTTTACAACCACAACAACGTACGCAATAGAGTCCCGGGCATTGCCAACTCTCCCTTGCTGAACATCACTGCCAGCCAAGATGTCCTCAGCCTCCCTTATCTTCATCGTTTAAATGAACGTAATTTGGAGGAGATACAGCAATTCAAGAAAGACGCCGGAACTGATCAAGCTTATCGTGTGGCATTCATCATTGGAGGTATATGCTGTGCTTTAATCTGCATTGGCCTCACCCTTTGGCGGTTCATCGACGCAAGGAAGTCTGCGAAGCAATTACGAGAAGTCGTCGCCGGAATTGGGTCGGCCGAGGGCGGCCTTACACTTGAAGGGGGAGTAGTTAACACATAACATTTAATATAGGGTATTTCATAAGTTTATAACCAACCCTCGCTATCGCGTGTTTCGTAAGTTAAGAAACAGCCCTCGCAATTGCGACACTGCATACTTTGTATCAGCGCGCTATAACTGCAATGGTCAGCGGCGGTAACCAGATACTTTTGTTTACTGCAAGAGTTTCCGTTATTGCCTAAGATTGCTGAGTCGGCTTGCCGACCATGACATTGTGGTGTGATGCGAGTTTTGGCTTAGCTTAAGTGAAATATTCTATGTAGCTAAAAATCAGTTTTGCATTGAAGTTTGAAGAATAAACCCGCACTACTCCGGCACACCGCCGTAATCAAATTGTTATATTTCTGATCATTGCTGAGCCACAAGGCCAGTTAATAGAAAAGGGGGTGAAGTCAAACCCTCCAACATAATCATCATAAGAAGATTATAATTACCCGATCAACGCTGGACCTGCCACCGACGCCTAGCTCATAGCTGGACCAGCAACTTATTGATTAAGACTATAAATACCCGATCAACGCTGGACCTGCCACCGACGCCTAGTTCATCGCTGGACCAGCAACATATTAATTTATATATATATGTATATATATATATTAGTATATAGAGTAGTTAAGTTTGTATAGCAGATATATATATATATATACTTTCCTTTTTCGTATAATTTTATCTGTATCTTCGTTTAAAAACACAAATCTACGCAGTCTCAAACGTAGCAATTTTTGGAAGCTTATCAGTATTATATATATCGTATTTTGTGTTTAGAGAATTTCTAGAATTTTTGCCTAACTATCAGAATCAACAAACAACAAAGTACGCGACGGCACAACCAACTTGATCACCTGCTTCAACTACGTACACCTGGATTTTTTGTTTTAGCTGTTTCGTTTACTTTCGTTTCCTACCTGCAACTTCCTCGAAGTCGGAGTCGTCGGTGTCCCCGGCAGCTAAAACTGTGGAAGCCGGCCTGGTTTTTGTGTGCCTCTTGATGCGTGTCGATTTGGTTTTGCTGAGACGCGATGGTGCATCCAAGGGCGGTGGCTGCGTTGCAGCTCCAGTTTCCTCTGCTCCCACTCTGGTTGCTCCCGCTCTTCCAGTTCCTGTTCCTTCTGAACGACGCCTCGATGCGTGCATCTCTTTTGGTTGTTTATTATCCGTCTGTTCGGCGTAGTTTTGATTCTCGCCCAATGCAAGCAAAGCATTGACATCCATTGCAGCAGCGTTTGATTTGGTAGCCGGCGGCGTAGCTGTGGCATTCCGTTTGCTAAGCAGAGCTTCGCGTGTGCGTTCCAAGCTGTTCGCATTCTCGAGCAGATCGCGAAAATCAAAAGCCTTATCCTCCAAGCTGCTATCGTTGTTATCCTCTGAGCCCGAGCCGGAATCAGAGAGTTGCGCTATACCCGCATTACAATCGAATTGTGGAGGCGGTGCTGATGGTGACTTCTCTCGGCTGGCCATAAAGAAACTGGAACGCAAATCAAGATCAGCGGGCTTAACTAGGTAATCATCCACACTCGATTCGCTGCTGGAGTCTATTGCATTGTTGCTTTCATTGGGCGTTTTGGCGTTTTTTGAGGCCGTCAGACGGCTGGCAGAACCCGAAGCCGAAGCTGTTGGCGAATTCTGTTGTGTGGGTGAAGTGGGAAAGGTTTTGGGTAGCGGACGATATTTATTGTAGAGTTTCGAACGCAACGATTGGCCGCTTGGCTTTCGTTTCTTCACTGAAGCGCCTTTGATGCCACTCGGCGGCTTCTGCTCTCTGTAAGAATAGAAAATGATGAATTAAAATTGTCAACTTGTTTGATTGATTGATTGCCTTGCCTCTTCTTATTTCCGCACGCTGAGGAGCGTCCGCTGGCGCCGGCAGCGCCTGCTGCTGCTGCTCCACCGGGCAGCTCTTCGAATTCGCTGTCATCATCATCGGAGGATTCGCCACCGCGAGCATCTTTGTTCGGCTTCCATTCATCTTCCTCGCTCGCCGAAAATCCCTCCGACATGGATTCTTCTTCTTCGTCAGACATTTTTTTTGTGTGTTTTTGTGTGGGTGCTTGTTGCTCGCAGGCTATGCGCTTTACATGTGTGTGTGTGTGTGTACGTGTGCGTGTGCCACAAACAGTTATTGATTTTTACTGCGCACTTTTGGAATGCTCGTTCTTCGTTAGCTGCTGCTTTAACAAACTTCAGTCAACTGCCATTTCATTGATTTAATTCCTTAATTCTGATAATGTTGCAAAGGCTTTATGTGGGCCGTTTGGATTTTTGGCTATTTAAATGAGTTTGTGAAATTCACATCTCCGCGCTTGGCCTGGCGTTTGGCTAAGAAATAGCGATAGGTAATGCGATAAATAGTGGCGGGCGATTACTGCTATCGACTTATTGTATATAGTTTTATTATTATTAGAATATTAGAATATTATATATTATTATTTTCCGTTGGACTTCAAAAATCGTAATTTCTATACAATCTACTTAAAAGTTTCTTTATATTTAACCTAATTAGGTTTGCGTTTAAAATAAAGTGTGTACACACTGGGTAGGCAAAAATTTGTTAATTTAGCTGCACAGCATTTGACAACACTGCTGTGTATTTTGTTTACGTTTATGTTGGATGAATTCTTCTGGGCAGGAATTGCATCCCAATTGGGTTGCTTTAAGCACCTTAAATGTGCCACTGAAGCGTTTCGTGCATGCTGGAGCTGTGGAGCAAGCGAAGGGCAAAGCAGAGAAGCACAGAATTGATGGCGTGAGTGGAGCTGAAGTGCAACAGTTCTACAAGGAAATTTTGGAGACGCCCGCAACAGCCAAAGTAGAAGCTAAACCAACTAAATGTGATGTCGCGTTACCTAAGGAACAGCCAAGAAGTCCATATGAAAAGAACCGTTTCTTTCGACTGGCTATGAGTAACGATGTGGAGCAGCTGTCGCTACTGAGCATTAGCGAGGAGGAACAGCTAAATGAATGCGACTCCTTTGGCTGGACAGCTTTGATGATGGCTGCGTGTGAAGGAGCAGAGGAGGCAGTTGCTTGGCTGCTGGAGCAAGGCGCAGCTGTGGAGATGAGGGATAAGAGTGGGCAAACGGCACTGGAACTCGCCAGAAGGAAGGGTCATCTAAATATTGTCGAGCTCCTGGAAAACTTGAATTGCTGTGAAGCGGAAGCTCCACTTGGCGTGGACTCCACAGTGGTAGCTGTTTCGCCCTTCTTCTGTGAAGTATGCCAAAGGGAATATAGTGAATCCACTTGGCGCGAACATCAAACCTCCACGGTGCACAGATTCAATATGAAATCTCTCCCGCCGCATCGTTTGGAAAAGTTCAACATCTCGGCTAGGAATCGTGGCCTTCAGCTGATGGTTAAACAGGGCTGGGACCGTCAACATGGACTGGGACCCCAGCAGAATGGTCGCCTGTATCCAGTGAAGACTGTGCTGCGCAAACATCGCACAGGTTTGGGAATTCAACAGCCACCGGCACGTGTCACGCATTTCGAGGCATTTGACACAAATGCGACCAAACGACGCCATGGGAATCCCCTGCCACAACATCAGCCCAGACGCACACGCAGCGACATGAAGCGGGAGAAGCTGCGCGACTGGAGACGAGAGCGTCGATTGCGGCATGAACTGAGCTGACTTTGGGCTCAAATGGGGGAGATTAAACTAATATTTAGGATGCATTATGATTGTACATGCGGTCGAGCAGTACAGTAGAAGCTGCCTAAGAGGGACATCAATGTAGGAATAAATTTTAAAGAGCACTGAAACCTAAGCTAATTGTAATTGGAATTAAAATTGTAGCAATAATTGCCGTACAGTGAGCGCTAGTTAAAAAGAACGGCTGTATGGTGAAAACTGACTTGAGGGCTAAGTTAGCTGTTTGTTACCTCAATGAATAATGAAATTGAGCACATTTTTTTAAACTTAAGATAAGGCAGACTTTCTATAAGTACAGCTGTTCATCAGCACAGTGTTTACTGTACGTAGACTTCAAATTTATTTTAAATTAACTGATATGAAGTACAATCTATAATGAAAGAGGCCAAAAGAGAATCATTTGTAAATGCTGTAAAATGTATAGTGAGGACTGGCTTCAGAGAATTGTCTTGTGAACAAGCAATAAAGAAAGAAGGAAAAAAGGAAACTAAGTCTTGGTGTTTATATAACATTTTGAAATCTTAAAGGATTACTTTCGAAGTGCTGAGTTTATAAAATATAGTCAAGTTCATTCAACCGATTGCGGTAACTACAAGATCAAGCAAAATGCGTTTTAGGAAGGCTCTACTTTCATAGAAAAAGCTGAAAGAAAAAAAAAGGAATTTTAAAAATTACCTTAGAAAAGGTTTTTTCTGTCGGTTATCCACTATATATTCTAATTGTGTTTCATAATAAAGGGTTCACTGTATCTATAAATTTGTTTCAAATTGCTCTCTAATGTAAAGACGCAACATTTTTGGCGTTTGGCTAGGTCAGGGCAGACAGCCAGCCAACAAGCCAACCCAACTGCTCACCCACGCTCCTGCACGCAGAGCCACAAAATGTGGCACGCGGCTGACCTCTTGCCACCTACATTTCTTATTGGCCATGGTAAGGGTAGTTGGTTAGCAAGGTAAGAGGGGTGCCCATTCGCGAAGTTTAGCCTGAAGTTGCAAAAACGAAAGCAAAAGCAAAAGCTGTTGCATGGCTCTCATCCTGCAGCTAAAAACACATTCAGCTGACACGAATTTCGCTTTGCGCCTGCGCAGTGAAGCCTTTTGCTCAATCCCTTCGCAAAACGACGCCCATGTTGCGTATATATAAAAAGGCAACGTTTCCGAATTCGGTCCCAGTCGCGTTCGGACTGTGACCAAGTGAAGACGTGTTTCTCAGTCGTTGCTGCTCCTTCAACTCGGCTGCTCCTGCTCTACTTTATTAAAGAAATAGTAAATCACGACGTGTGCGTGTTTAAAAAACAGTAGTAAAGTAATTAAAGGTGCACAGAAAGTTGTGCGAAGGTCAGCAAACGGCGTGCGCTAGGTAAATTATAAACATTTTAATTATTTAACTACTTGTATGACAATTGTTAAAAGTTGAATGAAATTCAAAAAGCAACGTTTATATTTTGAGCGCACATTTGGAGTGGCAACACTGTTCGCTACCCCAGTTTCGATCAACAGCTGTTCCGGCGTGTGCAAAAGCAAAACGCAAAAAACGCAAAGACAAAAACGTTGGCGTCGCATTTGTTGTGCTTTATTTGTATTTGCGTCTTCAACGTGTTCGGTTTACATTCAGCGTCCGTCGAATTGTATATATAAATAATTTTTCAAAATCAAAATCTACAACTAAATAAATGCCGACGTTGTGTTATTTCATGTGAAGACGGGTGCCAAAACACTTTTTAAAAGTGTTTTCCAGTTGAAGTTATAAAATTACGCAAAGTACGCAAATATTATGCAAAATAAAAAAAAAAACAAGTTAACAAATCACAAGAACAAGGAATAATTCCTGCTGCACATTTGGCCATGTGATTTACGTGAACTTGACAACAATTGAAATATGCTAATAATATGCATAGATATGGGCCGCTTTTGCTCTTATTGCAAAATATTCAATATATTTTTGGTTTATGGTTTATTTCTGTAGCCACATACAATACATATATATACACATGTATTGTTTTTGTGTTTGGTTTACAGATTTAAATTGTTAGCCTGTGTTTTTTTATCTGTACGTTATACTCGCTTCGCTCTCCTCGCTCGCATCTGTCAGTCTGTTGATCATCAAAGTTCACGCGCGTTCGCACGCTCACTCACTCCCGCTGTCTCTCTTGTTCTCTCTCTCTCTCTCTCTCTCTGTCCGCCTTGCGCTCCATGAACTTTGCGCGTGCCTTTCAATTTGTTTGATCTGTCATTGCAATTCCATCTCGTTCTCACCCACATCTTGTGCGTTCTCTTCAATTTTTCTTTGCTTTTTTTGCTCGCTCACGTAACGGTTTGATTATTTAGAAATTAATGCAGTCCGACAACAGCAAGCAAACGGGGGTGGTTTGGCATTTGCAAGTGAAGTGCTTTTGTTGTTGCTTTTTATTTACCGTATTTCAATTAGTGTATGTATTTGTGCAAAAAAGTTAATTTATGACATAGACATAGACAGTGCTTAAAACTTAAAAACGCATAAATGTTTGGCAAATTAACACGGCACTTAAATAAATATTCCAAAATCACTTGGCGAATATCAAAATCCAAATGATAAAACAGAAAGACGTAAACAAAAACTACTTTAGTGAGCGATTTGTTTAAAGTATAAACATGAAATACGAAAAAAAGGTTGCCTGTTTAACCGTTAGATCTGCAAAAGAGGCCATAAATACAAGGTTAAGAACACACAACGCAGAGCAGAGAGATCTTCTGAAGCACGTCAACTCAAACTCGTAAATCTTTAAAATCCCAAAGCAAACAAATATAAAACAAGAAAATAAAGAAAAAAATACAAAATCAAGAACGAAAAACCAAATAAAAAATTAAAATGTTGCAATACATGTACTAGTCTAAGTACAGTGTTGACATGCTAAAGCGAACAGTTGCTTAATTACGGGTGCTAATAAAGAAAATGAAGAGGAAAAAGTGAAATTCAAAATTGCATCAAAACCATATTAAATTCTAAATATATAAAAAGTATTTAGAATCATATATATTTATTTTACATTCCCTTCATTCCACTCGAAAGAAAACCCGAAAATTGCATAAAAGTATTTTAATATAATAATATAATTAATGAAACAGAATAGAAATTGGACAGAAAAAATTATATTTTGTAGCATTTGATAATAGATATTTTCAATAAATATGTTTTAAAAAATGGTATTAAATTTAAAATTATAGAATTTTCATTATAAAATGTTATATTTATTTTTATATTTAATAATATTTAATAATATTTGTATTAAAAAATTATTATTTGTTTAAGTTATTTAAAGTCTTTAATATTTATTTTCAATAGTTCTTTTTCATTCTCTTTCATGTTAAACTTCTTTGCCATTATATTATTTCTATATAAAAAGTTTTTCACGCATTTAACACTTTAAAACTTGTAAATCTAAGTTTAACACTTGCAGCACTTTTCCATTTGAACTTTGTTTAGCGTGCTTTAACCTTTTAAATATATAATGCATGTCTTCTTTATAAAGTTTCATGCAAGAGTTCATGCTTTCTACATCGTTCTTAAATAGAGAATTGTTTGCATAATATAAAATATAAAGTTTTGGCCTGTGGGCAGTAGAACATCCGCTCCAAAGCGGATGTCAGCCACATCAAAATACAGTAAAACTTAAAAGAGTTGAATTTATGCACATTTTCGCAACTGTTCGTTAGTCCAGTTATCACTGTACGCAAGTGCTCATTATCTCCCACTCAAAAAAAAAAAACTCTTCCGGGTCACTCTGCCAGCTGCTGTTCTCCAAAAAGTTTCTACAAAAAAAGATCCAAACACAAACGCAATAAGAAAAATAAATAAAATAAAAGCTCAGCTATAAAAAACAATGTAAATAAATAATAATAGAAACAATAATTGAAAATTCTTTAAATCTTAGGATGAAAATTGAGTGTTGAAATTTGGGAATTTTGTTATTTGAAGTGTGTTGCGTTTTAATAATGTTGTAAAAGTACATAATAAATTGTTTATGCAATCGAAAAGCCTAATTGAAAATGCGCGAAATTAACCATTAAAACAATTACAACAAATTATAAACAACAACAAAATAGTAAACAAAACAACAACAATTGCTGTCTTTTCCGGCTTCAATAAAAAAAAATAAAAACAAAATCGAAATACAACAAATGCCAGACGTTTTTCACAGGTAAGTCTACAGCGAGTTTATTAAAGCACCGAAGCAAATCAAATCAAAGTAAAAGCACTTTGCATGGGCTACGCTCGACTAGCAAATGCTGTACATTTGTCATTGAATCCCTTTGTTACTCAAGCAACTTGTATTTGAATCTATAAATTTTGAAATGAAATTTTTCGTGTTTTTCTTCTTACTCCTTTGAGTTTGAGAATTTGAAGGTCGTCATAGGGTGGCTCCACTTTTGTCATATTTTTTTTTGCTTTTATTTTTAATTAAATATAAATTTATAAACCAAATTTTTTGAATCTCTTTAACACTACGAGATTATAATTTATGTTTGTTATCGATTTTAATCGATTATAATTTATAAGTATTAAAAAATGAACCAATCTTGATGACTTTTAATTGCTATAAGAGCAACTTTGTTAAGCATACTAAGCCTCTAGCATGCTACTAGTTATAGTTCAATATTGCTGTGATATCACCGTTAACAGTTATCGATGACAGCTAGACAGTTATACAAACAGACGAACAGACGTAGGATAGGCTGACTTTCAAAAAGATATATACACAAGTGAACAGGGAGAAAGACAGGCAGAGAGACTGAAAGGCAGACTGGAAAAGATTGAAAGATAAACTAAAAGACTGAAAAGAAGAAAAGAAAAGATGTTCAAGGCTAAATACTGTCGATTGTTGTTTCAGATCAAGTCTCTATAGATATATACTTATATTGCCTGTTACATACATTCAAACACAAACAATATGCCCTGTTTACTCACTAGCAATGGATACATGAAAGAATTCACGCTGACTGTCTGACAGTTTGTCTGTCTGTTTGTCTGTCTCCCCGTTGGGGTTTTAGCTACTATGTAAATAGGGGAACGTTCGTTTTATTGGCAGCGTTTCTAATGGCTGTGGCATAAATCTCACACCTACCTGGAATTTTCTAATAACGCGAAAGTGTTGCACTGCATGAAATGAGAAATTTGCGCAAAAAATACTTTCGACATAAATTACTGCATACAATTAGGCGCACAGCAGAGAGAGAGCGAGAGAGTGCGAGAGAGCGTGAAAATGTGAGTTATAAAAGTTGTCTTTTGGCATTTCCTGCCAGCCACATGCAAAATTAACAGAAATTAGATGCGAACTCTGCTGCGGCTTTGAAGCGTATTAAATTATCTTAAAGTTAAACAGCTGTAATTAACGCTAATTAAGTGCTTAACTACAGTTTGTCAACAGCCACATAGACATTACATGGCACTTGCTCTTGAAAACTTTTTGTTTATCAACAGCCAAGGTAGAAAAACGATTTCATTA